TGCACTTTGCTTTATAGCATTTCAAAGATACCATAAAGCAATTTTTTTTTCAATAAATTGAAGGTTTGTGTCAACTCTCCATTGAGCAAATCTATCAGACTCATTTTTCCTATAGTTCAACTGATCATCAGCACTTTAAGCAACAAAGAATACTTAAATTATGTACCGTACATCGGATTTTAGAAACAGTGCTACTGTACACTTAATAGGCTACAATACAGGGTAAATATAATTTTTATATGCATTGGGAAAACAAAAAGTTTATGTAACTCACTTTATTGCAATGGTCTGGAACTGAACCAGCCTGACCTTTCTTAAGAAGTTGTATCTCTATCTCTCCTTGATCATTTGCCTTAGGGACTCAGCTCTGCAGTAAAATGCACAGAAATCTGAATGGATTCCCAGCACGAGCAGAATAGTCATGCTGTGTACTCAGACCCAGAAAGCTGCTGAGGGATATAGGGAAAAGCTGCTTGCATAGAAACCCTCTGTCCCAATGAAAATGGCTTTGTCCTAGGCAGAAGTTTATACAACACTAGCATCATATTAGAAAATCTGGAGAGTTTGGCCGTAATACTACAAATTTTTTTGGTCACTAGTACAAATTTTATGTTCTTCACAATGCCTACAGATGATACATGCTTCACTCTCATGCTAAAAAATAACAAGGGTCGTTTCAATTACATAAACAAACAGGAAATATGTGTATTTCAAAAATAGTTTTAAGTCCATTAAAATTACTGTAGCAATTTTTAATGCACCACAATGAAAAACTACATAAAGACCAAGCTTTAAGACTATTTTCCTTAAAAGCTTACAAACAACAGATTCAGGCACATAAGACCAATCTTTGGTTAAGTAGATTAAAAGGCATGCATTTATTGTCTTGATTACTCTTTAAGAACTCCAGCTAATTTAATTTCCCCAAATATGGGGCTGGGGATTTAGCTCAGCAGCAAAGTGCCTGCCTGGCAAATGCAAAGTTGTGATTCAGTTCCCGGTACCGGAGAAAAACCAAAAAAAAAAAAATTTCCCCAAATATGTGTAAGAAATTCTGTCTCTTTATTTTGATGTTAGCAGATTTCAAATAAACGAAAATACTTATTTTATAGCTTTAAATTCTTTATTATGCATTTCAAACAAATATTTTTATGCTTAAATACCTCAGAATTTCTCTCCAATGAATTGTAATTTGCTCAAAGTAAAATACGGAAATGCTAATTTTCTAAAGGGTCACACACTGACCTTTTGTTTTTCTTCAATCAAAACACATTAAATTTCCAAAATTGGGACACAGAGGTGAGAAGCATGTTCACTTTCCAAATCAAGGTCCTATAGTATACATATTTGCCCAGCTAATTCATCAGTAGGCCTAACACCCACTAGCACTGAAAAGCTGTCATCCCAGCAAGCAAGAGCCATACCTGTGTGCATGCACTCATGTGAAAATATCACACACACTAAATTGCATTGAGGTCGTGACAACATGCAACTTAGTAATGTGCAATATCTCCACCAGAGCAAGCAGAATGGAGCATCGGGGAAGGAGGGTGTGATGTGCACATTCAGGAGACATGCCGCTGGAGGGAGGAAAATGGTCTGGGGATGAAGGGTGCATGCCAATAACTCAAAGACTCATGAAATGAAACCTAATCACAAAAGTCTTCCGCTGAGAAAAATACTAACTCAGAATTAAAATAAAAGTCAAGGTTCAAAACTTCAGTAACACAGTGATCATGAAAGGAGCCACATGTTTGTTTCACAAGGCACAGCTTCAGGAACAGACACCTTCTACGTCTGGTCATGCAGTTTACCCCCAATTTCATTCCATTTGTAAGTTATTAATGGAGCACATAAAATGCATTTAATGGTTTTCAACTAACTGCAATATTAATGATGATTAATGTCTGTTCCTTATAAAATCTGTTATCCCTGATAATTTACAGACCAAACTGTACTTTAAGAACATTACAATACTTTCACAATCATTTGTATATTTTTTCCTCTTAAAATCTTTTTCCGTGAGGAAACAGGCTTCTTAATACAATCCTTCAGAATGAAAAATCTGACAAGAGCTCTTAGAACACCTGTATCTCATCATATGAGAAGGCTATTAAGAGGAGTCCATATAAAACTTGTACATTTCAGGCCTTAAATGTGATCTAGTAAAAAAAAATTGCCCAATCTCCAGGCATGGAGGCACACAGCTATAATCCCAATATGGGAGGCTGAGGCAAGAGGACCACTGTGAGTCCAAGGCCAGCCTGGGGTACACAGTGAGGGCAAGGCCAGTCTAACCTACATAGTGAGACCCTGTCTCAAAAAAACTCCCAAGGGATTTAGACCACAAAAATCATCTTGAATTATAATCTTTAATTACAATCATCTTGAATTACAATATTTAATTTATAAAACTTGATACAACTTTGGTCAGAAAAATCTCCCAGGCCATAATACATTCTCTAGTGTGTACCGTGTTTATTAAATTCAACAAGAATCAATCAGTTTGGCTAACCAATAAGATGACAGTATATTTCTGGTACAGAGGGCAATTAATTTTTTTTTGGTATTAAAAAACGAGATGATAAATAAAACAAATGGATTTTGTCCCTACTGTAGAATCATGACAAGGGTTTCTGGCACAGTGAACAATTAAAAGTATACATTCGTAAAAAGACAAGGCAAATCTAACTTGTAAAAGAAGCATTTCCTCGTTATCTCTGCAATGACAGCGCTCTTTAATCTCAAATTCTCTTCTGAGGTGAAGACTGAATGTCTAGCTGCAGGCCTCATTGTGTCCACTTGAACAGTTTTAACAGTACTGCAAATTTAACTCATTTTATCTCCCTCGACCAGCTCCTCCTGGAAGGTGTCATAAAATAGCACGATTGCTCTATGCTTTCAGTCAGATCTAGATGCAAATTATAGCTCTACTTATCACTTAACTAGCAGCCACAACTTAAAAGAATTAAATTCAAAACAAAACAGCAGCATATTTGGAATAAAAAAAAAAAAACAAAAAAAGCAACTCATTGACAAACGTTTGAGAGAAGAGTCAGCAAATGGCTCACCTGAAAAAAGCAAACCAAGAGAAAACTCAAGTACTGTGATCTGAAAGCTGGACGTGGTGGCACACGCCTGTAACATCAACGCTCTGGCGGCTGAAGCAAGAGGGCTGCACAGAGCCCATGAGGAGTGTAAGGCCAGCCTGGACTACACAGCAAGACCTTGTCTCAAAAATAAACGAAACTTAAAGAACTATTATTTGAAAACACAAAAGCTCTTCTGAGAAGAAGAGGGTTACTTTAAGAAAATGAAGCACTGCCTTGCTTCTTTATGGACAAGTTATAGATACTTTTTTCTTTATGGGTTAGATTAAGTCACATCTACAGGCAGAAGACTATTTCAATGGTTTTAGATGACTAGGAAGATAGAAGGTTATTTTGCCTTTTTGGTACAGCATTTGTGCAGGCTTTTTTGAGTCAAAACATTACCACAAAGATAGAAGATAGCCTATTGCTGGAACTTCCATCATTTCACTTACACAAAAAGGATCATAACCTAGGGTCACGAAGGCTTAAAAGGGATGCCAAAGCTAAACTTTCCTGAAGACAGCGTCACTGTGAAAGATGTTATATTAAATCATAAATTCTTACACTTGTATTTTTTTATATGGATGGCCCCATGTGGATACCTGAGGACGCCACATAGGTGCTAAGAGCATTTTTTTAAAAACTCACCTGATATCCAATCAAGGGAACAAAGTATTGGTGAAAACTTTATTCAGAACTTGCTAGTAGGAAAAGGGAGAAAAACCTAGCTAAGTTTTCAGAGATGATATACCTTAGAAGCATGCATCCTACTGGAATATACCTGAGGGTCTCCAAAGATAAAGAGGCATTCTCTCTAGGTGTTACATGAACACAGTGAAAAAAAAAAGCCAGCCAAGGTCAGGCAGGCAGGATTAACAGGTCAAAGCAAGATTTATGTGGGTGGCTAGTTCCAAACAATGGTATATTTTTAAGGTATGCAGAAACACAAATCCTAGGCAAAGATTCACTATTCAAGAGAAACTTAAGACTTCCTGGCTAACGCTTACTAGAAAGAGCAGCTCTAACAGATGATATAAGGATCTGAGTAGCTACTCACAAGAAGTGGAAATGCTGAGTTATTGTAAGAAGCAATGAGGGATAGGGGCTGAAGGAGGAGCTGAGCAAGACCTGGACTACGAAGCATCTCTTCCTTTTGGACACAATGAAGTAGAAAAAGAAAAGGGGGCCAGCAGTCAACAACTTACAAAGAACTTATAGGCCATGAAACATGAAGAAGAAACTCATTCAGACACCAAGCCTGCAATGCATGGACCCCAGAGGCACGATGGAAGTTTCTGGCCAAAGCCAACTCTACACACAGAGCCTATGACTGGGAGACAACCAAAGACTGCACTTCCAGCATCCAACCTTGTCCTGCTTGAGAGGGCTCAGCCTGCCTGCAGAGGGAGGGAGGAAGAAACGGGGGGGAGGGGGGATCTACTCCCCTCCAGGATCCAAGCTAGAATCTCCAAGGAGAGGAGGGTTCTGAGAAAGGCAAGTAGTGGACGATGAAGGTTTTCTTGAGCAAGTGATGTACGGACGGAGCTAAACTAAGAAGCTGCTGATGGGAAGCTGATGAAGACAGGCCATTTTGTAAGCCCTAGGCTAGAGAGTAGGGTATCAAAGGCCTTGGGATTTTTTTTCCCTTAAAAACATACATCATCATAAGATCCTCTCAAAATGAGATGAAAATCTTGAGAATACCATGTCCTTCACTAGTTTAGTGCTGAATGTTAGTAGGAAGTTCAAGACAGAAAAGAGGCTTCTCAAGCATTTGGTCTTTTTTTTTTTGGTACTGGGAATCGAACTCAGGACCTAGCGCTTGCCAGAGAGGCGCTGTGCCACTGAGCTATATCCCTGGCCCTAGCATTTGGTAAAGGGAATAACAAGCATAAACTTTATCCCTACCTGATAGCTTCTTCCACAGAGTGGCCAATAATATTAGAAGATGGGCCTGGCTGAGACAGTGGTGTCAGGCTTATCACCCACTTCACTGGCTTGTAGTACTCATCACTGGAACTTAACAGATAAAACAGTGTGGTCAGGAAAATTATCTGCAAAACAAAAGACAGTATCTCCTGAACAATCACACCTGGGAAACTGTAGACATCCACAAATGCAAAAAGAACCAATATAACGCTTTAATGGAGAAGGAACCGCGAGGTGTACTTATCTAGCCATACGTACCAGAGAGAGCACAAAATTGAGGAGGGCAGTGCCACTGTAGAAAAGGATGGTCAGGAGTGTGGTGACCGTAGTAAACAGCAGGCTCACGTTCCGGCTCATAACAATCCACAGCGACTCCAAGATCTGATGAGGTGGGAAAGCAGAATGTCAGAGCTTACACGACGGAGATGCCACAGCCATCTTGTACTTTTAATACAGTGTCTTACTATCATAAATGAACAGATGAGAACTGAGGACCACTTTAAATGAAGGGAAGAGTCGATCAAAAACATCTGCATGTTTAATAGGGAAAATGGCTCAGCACAGTGAATCAGCTTCAAATAATATTAAATAGCTATCAGATCTATTAAAACAAAGTATTTTATTGTAAGGCCAAGTTTTAAAAGTGGAATACAAAAATTTCATATACAGTATAACTATGTAAAACTGAAAGGGACATAAAGATGCCTACAGGAGAATATGTCACAATATGCCTTGTATATATTTTTCTTGTGGCATCTTAAGTTCCAGATGAGTTTTAGCTGCCTCCCTCCCCCACCTTTGCCATCTCGAACTTAGATTCAACCAAAAATATATAAAGTATAACTTCAGTGACCATTAAAATCACAATAAAAGTAATAATAGGGTCAAGAGCAGAGCCTTTCCTAGGTAGACACTGCCCATTATATTGAAACCTACTGTCTACAGTTGACCTGTGAATTCACTAGCACCAGATTTTAACTTGATGGTTATTCATACATGGAATATGCCTACAGGAAGATGTGCAGTATCTACAGTACACCTGCATGCTTTCATTTCTTATCTCTCCATGAACTTAAATTCCCTCATGAGAGTGTCTGCTCTATCCTCCCCAAGTGGACTATCCTTTGTCTCAGTGAAAAACATGGAAACAAAATGATCAGGAAAGCACCTCCCATAACAGTTTCAAAATGCTTCCACAAACCTCAGAACAATCTTGTGAGGGAAGCACTGCAGATGATAGCATCATTATTTTACAGGTTTATATAAACTGAAGCTCAGAGATGTTTAAAAACTTGCTCAAGGCTATAGAGCTAAAAAGTAGCATCAGAAATCCTAATGTCTGGTTTTTATTTTAGTGCCTTTCTGAAACAGCAATTCTGCTTTTGTCATATGTTCAAGTTAGACCATCTGTTCTATGAAAGGCCTCCGTTCCCTTCCTACTTCAAATGTATCATTTATAAAAGGCACATTTTGTTGCCCTCCACATTTGTTGCAAACGTCAGCTCAGTCTTTCTAAGAGATTTTCAGCAGTCTGGTTTCATTTACAAAAACTCCTTACATAAAATCTTGAAAATATTTCATGATGCCTACAAAAATATGCGCGATTGCCTGTTTGACCCTGTCGAATAAAGAATGAATGAACAATACCACTGATTCCAGGAAACAAACCAACAATGCCTGTATTTTTGATTTTGACAAGCATTCTTTCTGAGGCTCAGTCACTCTGGAATTTTTATCAAAAAAATTTTAAATGCCTTCTGAGTCACACTGATAGAAAATACCCTGCGGTAATTCTTAAGACATTAGCTGAATACTAACTGTACAACAGTAGTCTCCAACAACAACCAAGCAACCTTTTTAATTGAAAGAAAGGGAATTAGAGAAAAGGACGTTTCTAGAATTACTAATTAATCTTTAAGGCAAAGTAGTTTCTAATATATATGTCAGGCTTAGAAAGGAGAAAATAAAGGCAGAAACAGCACAAGGGCCCTGAAACTCTGAGTATAAAATAGACCAAATGTACTACAGATAAAAAGTAGAAATCATGAGTCAAGTTTTGCATTAACTTAATCAATAGTAGCAATGTAACTGACAGAATGTCAAGAGTAAATTAGTTGCCTGAAACATACACAAAAAGCCCGGGAGTTATGTCCATTGCTCACTGACAGGTGGTTGCTGCTGTAGATAGGAAATGACCAAGGATGCCTCCCCATCCTTCAGCTGACCTGCATCCTGTCCTTCTGAGTCTACTGTTCACCAAATTACCTTTCCATTACTGATTTGGTTTCCCAGGTACTTACTGAGAGCTACTAGCCTACCTTCTGTGGAACCTGTGAAGACTCACAAGCAGCAGTTTAGAAAAAAAAAAGAAAAGAACAGAACATCACAGGGATGCATAGGTTGAACAGAAAATGTTTGGTTCCTCTGAGTGGGACCAAGCTGTCTGTCTGCCTGAAAGTCTGAACAGAGCCGGGAGACACAGACTACATGAACCCCACTGTCCCTCTCTGGTTCCTCTCTTCCTAAGCCAGCTACAGACTAAGGGAGTCGAGCTGGGTGAGCTCAAACACCATTTCAACTCTGCCACTCTCCTTCCAAACTTCCAAATACAAAACTGATTATTATTCATGCTACAATAGCTTTCTCTTAAATACACTGACAACCTAACACCATGCTAAATTCTAAGGCAGTGATAAATGAGAGTCTTTCTGCTCCCAAGAATTTAAAATCTAGTCAGGTAAACTGGGCATAAATACCAGAGTCAAAGATGGAAGAAGTAGGGGAATAGGAGAACCTCAATTTGTTTTAAGGTGCACTGAGAAAGGGTCATATACCACAGCGCTAAGCTACATATTTACTACAAAATCAGAAAAAAAAAAAAAAAGGACAAAACAAGCAAATAAAAACAAAGGTGTGCGACAAAGAGGATGAAATATAGTTTAGAAGATAATGCAGTTTATGACAGCAACAGTCTGGACTCTGGAGGCAAGGAAAGAAAAACAATTTGAACACTAACTCTTACTAGGTATTTAGTATCAGTAAGCATGTTTGCTATTACAATGAAAGCAATTATATTGATTTTGGAGATTATTCATGAGAATACAATTAGAAACTATTTATAAAGCACCAAGCTTTATTTTGTGTATTTGTCATGAAATATTTGATATAAAAATCACTAATCACTTACTCCATCACTACTCAATATGTAGATGTGTTTGGAAGTATAAGAATTGCACCTATTTAATTTTTTTGGACTACATGGCTAAATTGTTTAGTTTTAAAAACTGCCTATCCTGTTCTTTCTCTAAAAATTTATAAAATTTAAATATTTTTCTGCATCATCTATCTTAATTTGATTCAATGTCACTTCACCAGTCAGGAGCAAATCCTTTAAAATTCAACTATTAAGGAAAAGAAAGAAAGAAAAAGGAAAACGAAGCTCAAAACATGATACAAAAAGGATTATGTTTTAGTTAACACACCTGAATTTTGGGGGAAAACAAACATTCAAATGTATTATTAGAGGAAAAGCTGTCTTTTGAAAGCACTATCATTAAAAAGGTGCTGAAGAGCCAGGTGCAGTGGTGTATGCTTATAGTTCCAGCTCCTCTGGAGCCTCAGGCAGCAGGACTGTGTGTTTAAGATCAGTCAACATGCCAAGACCCTGTTTAAAAGAAAACAAACAAAACAAACAAAACAAAACAAAACAAAACACTCCCTGGAGAGACCATAAAACTGAGTGGAACCTGTTTCCCCCTGGGCTTGTCTGTGGGCTGACCTGGCTAGACCCTTCCAAATGGTTGTTAGAATTTTACTTTAAGAAATACACTACCAGGGGTCATCAGATATTTGAGGATAACCTCAAAGGTAAAGAGAGTGCAAAACAAACTTTAAACAAACTCATAGCAAAGACAGGGTAGTACACATTTTAAAAATTTATGTAAGGGGGGATGACATGATGAAGATATGTTATATGCATGTATAAAAATACATTGAGACCCAATACTTTATAAAATTAATATACACTAATAGAAAACACATTTAAATATCTTATTAGTAGTACCTTCAAAGTAATTTTTTAAAAAAGGTTCAAAAGGGAAGAGCCGTTGGATATTATTCAAAGAGAAATAAAAATTCAATGAAAGGTTCAAAATTAAAGTCGGAGCCATGGCGGGGGGCATTCAAAGAGAAAAAAAAATGTGAAGAGCCACAGGCCAAGACAGCTCCCAAATGCTGTTCTCCTCACCTCTGAAGCCATGTTGAGGCCCACCATTTGAATGAAAGGCAGTTCAGAAAATCAGATATATGGTTCTTAAAGTAGGTCTGTCTCCTGGAAGAGTGGAGTCTCTGAGACCTTTCTGGGTTCTGTAAGAATAAAACATTCCCCTCACCAGGTGACCTGTACCGTAACCCCAGCCCTTGGGAGTCTGAGACGGAAGGCCTGCTGAGGTCAACCTGGGCTACACAGTGAGTTAGTTGTTCAAGGCCAGCCCGAAGTACATAGCAAGAACTTGTCTCAAAAGACAAAACCACACTAAAATTTCCCTCGCGATCCTCAGATGTTTGCAAGTCCTCTTGTGGGCATCCACACAGAGAGTGCAGTGACCAGCGACAGCAGCTGGACTGCTGGGCCATGGCAGGAATGGAGGTGGCACCTAACGGCTCTCCTGGTCACTGCACTTCACTACCACAAGCTCACCACCAGCTCACCCTAAGAAATCCTGACACAGCAGCAAAAATTACGAGTTTATCTGAATCAACCTTTGAGTAAGGTTGATAATCAACCTTTCAGTATTCTGCACGAGCAAACAGAAGCTGGCCCACAGCAGTCCTGCTGCTCACCGCGCGAGAGCCCTGGCAGGATACACGGTGTGACGGAGCCCAGAGCTGAACCCAACGATCTCTGCACTGAACACCACATCTGTATAGAGAACACCTAGCATCCTCAGCATGTGCAAAAACTCCCTCCAAGAATGAGCAAAGTGTCGTTTCAGGAAATCCACTGACAGTATGCGCTGTCAACAATAAAATTTGAGTCTTTAAGGAAAAGAAATCATGATTTTGGAGATTTATTTATCAGTCACTTGTAACCTTGACAACTTCTTAAATTTTTTTCTAATGAGTTAGATGATTGTAAAAAATGCAACTTTTTAATACTGTGTTTTTAAAAAAATCTACCTTTTTAAGTCGAACCAATACTCCAAATGACTAGTACATGTTATAAAAATCACACAAGGGTAAACAAATGCTCCTAGGTAAGACAGATCAATAGACTTTACTGTACCACAGTGCAAAAAAGTTCAGTGACACAGTTTCAAATTCCACATTACCACTATCCTTTTAAAAATAACATGGGCTCAGGTTTGGTATAGTATCAAAGAATAGCCACAAGAAAAGCTGTTAGAAGTTCCCTCTCTTAGCTGGGCATGGTGGCACACATCTGTAATCCCAACACTCTAGGAGGGTTGAGGGATGTTTTCAAATATGAGCCCAACTTGGGAAAATTAGTGACTTAGCAAGATGCTCAAAATAAAACAACTACGACCTTTACTTCAAACCCCAGAACTACCAAAAAAAGGGGGGAAAAACTCCTCTTTTTTCCAATAGATATCTATGTGAGGCTAGATGGTCTTCACAGATTTCAACCAAAACAAGCGTATCTCCACAGACAGAAGGCAGAACACATATGAGAATCCAGATACTAAACAGATTTGCAAAAATTAAAACAAAGCTACTCTTCCTGGTAAATCATTTTTCCACTTTATAACTAACTCTAAGTGTTTATGTTACAATGTACGGATATTAACCTAATGAATAGATAAATATGCACTTTGTAATCCCAAACCAAAACACTTGAGAATCATCAGACTAGAGAAAAGAGGGAAGGGATTATCAAAAATGTGGGTGCAGGGTTGCACACGTGCAGTTCCAGCTCACCAGGAGACTGGAGAAGCAGGATCATTTGAGGCGAGGAATTTACTGTAAGAAAGGGAGGGAGGGAGAGGGATAGGGAGGGAAAAAAAAGGATGAAATAAAAACTGAAGGACATGAATTTCTAGAATTAATTCCAAACTATTCCAACTACCTCAGGTGAGTGGGAGGAAGGGCAGAGTGTGAGTGCAGGAACATGTTAAGAACTGAAGGAGCTGTTAAGACGGACTTGTAAGAAAGTCTCATCTTTACCTTCATCTTCCATATTTGGAAGCCAAATGATAGTATCTAAAATAGCAAAACAAGGAAGAGCAGCATGAACATTATTTTAAAAATTCAGAAGCAAAGACCCAGAGAAAGCTGTTTCCAAAACTAACAGCTACTCCTAGAGATTGACACTGAGGCACAGAGCAGGCAGTGACTTTTTTTTTTTTTAAATTAAAATTGTAAAGCATTGGGGCTGGGGATTTAGCTCAGCGGTACAGCGCCTGCCTGGTAAGCGCAAGGTTGTAACTTCGATTCCCCGTACCGGAAGAAAAAAAAAAAAAAAAAAATTGTAAAGCAGTGACTTTTCATTTATGGTCATGTATTACTTTGCTAAAACTTAACTTTTTAAAAATTTCGCACCGCAAACCTCAACTTTTATAAATTTGATTAAAGTCACAAGTTTACTCACAAGAAAATTCTCATGACTGTGAAAAGCCACAGGCCAAGATACCTCCCAACACGTGCCCCTGAATGACACAGAGCAGGGATTAATACCCAGCAGTGCTGCAAGACTGCAGAGGTGGATGTACAGTGGGAAAGTGGGGGACGGTAACAAGTTAAGACTCTGCACACTCAGTGCCTCTCATGTAACTGAACTGTACTTCACACGTCAAGGGCTGCACCCACCAGAAAAGCATGACCCGCTGTAGTGGTCCAGCTGGGAGCGTGTTGATCAGCTGAGGGGGATGAGGATACCACCTGAGAGGCTAAGCGCCCACAGCACTGCTCACACCTCCTGGGTACGGCATCTCTCGGTTATTTTTCAGCCAGCCAAGTACCAGGGAGCCACATCTGAGGACTACGAATTCTGGTCATCTTTCTAGTCCATTTAGAGTTCTCAAATTTATAAATGTCATGGCATTAAAAACAGGGTGACTAAAGGTCTCAGTGTGTGTAAAGAAAACCTAGATTAGTTTCGACTTTTATCTCAGCATCCAGTTTAACTATACAGACTGTGCCTTACCGAAAGAAATGTCTCAATGTTCTCGTGAACGAAGGAGGCAATATCCTGCCAGTCCAGAATGTCTCCAAGCCAACTGTTCTGACGACTTACATGCATCTTGTGTCCTTTGTGCCTTCCAGAATGTGTTACATTCTATGGAATTAAACAGTTCAGATGTGAAAGTTCTATCTTAAATAGTAAAAATTATAAACACTTCATTTTGCTTTAGGTCCACTTACACACTCCAGCAAATACTCAAAGGTGAAGAATCATGCATTACTTAAGAAATCAACTAAGGATTCCATCTAAAAACCTAAAACATAGTATTTTTCCATTTGCATCCTAGGTATTATTCCTAAGCCTGGCTCAAGTGCTTCCCTACTTAAATACATATGTTATTCCTTACCACTTGTAACAGTATACTAATACAGCATTCACTTCACCTTTTTCTTTTTATAGTTCTTATATCCCTTTCTTGGTTTCCCGTATCTTTGCTTTTTTCCCCCCACTTTGTATTTCCTTTATTCATCATCTTTTTTTTTGAGACAGTCTCGCTATGCCGTTCAAGCTGACCTTGAGCTCAGTATGTATCCCAGACTGGCCTTTATTCATCTTTTGTACAGGATAAAAGGGAAGAGGGAGGAGACTATGATAAACATGAACAAGGAGCAAAATCTAATTCATCTACTGTAAGAGAATTATATTGGCAGGAATGCAGGAATATTAAATTTGAAAAAGAGACGTCAATAAACATAGTGACCAGTGACGTTAAAATTCAGAGGTATATTCTTAATATTCTGTATCCTTTCTCTCACTTTCTGAATTTTGCTTACATTTTCTCACTTTTTCAAATGAAACAGTGATATGCATCTGCATTACACAATGCACAAAGACTTTAGCTCCTGCTGAAAGAAAATGATATACTTAACCACTTTCGTATCCATGCTTTTTAAGACTGATATTCTTCCACTGTAAAATGAGACTCAAAATGCGTGAGGCATAGGAAAAGCGGATTGATAAGAAGCTCCAAGGTTGGCACAGGAAAGAGATAGGACCTTTCTAATCTAGTTCTTCAGCAGTCAGAGTCAAACATATGATAGTCTACCTGATGTGCCCCTGTTAGTTTTAACTCTCAGTCTTTCAAACCCACAAAAATGAGCCCTACTTCCCCAACTCACCCCAGAACAACAGTACATTAGGTCACTAAGTAACAAATTCAAATAAAATTAACCCCCATTCCTCTTCAATCCCTAATTAAGAAATTATATGTGCTACTCTTCTCCTTACACCCACCATAGGGGAAAATCACCAGCTCCCCCACATAATACACACAATATACTGCCTGAGGATCTATCAGACCTGGGCAGATCACAACTCAGCAGAAGCAACTGCTTTCAAAAATAATCATTTTTGTACCTAGTGACAGACAGTACTACTTCACATTATAAATCTCGAAGTAAGAGTGCATATGCATAAACAACAATGTTACTTTAAAATAAAGGTCTCCAGCAACTTTTAGATCTATTTCTTCTTCCTCAAAGAGAAAAGTTCTTAATGTCTAGAATTGAACTATAAAAAAAACAGAAACTAGCCACATATAGATACCGGGCACCTAAAATTTGACTAACCCAAAATCTGAACTATGTTGTTGGTGTAAAATGTACACTAGATTTTAAAGAGTATTTAAAAAGAGTATAGAATTATCTAAAAATACATAAAATTAAAATTTTTCTATTGATGATATATTGAAATGAAAGCAGCTGAGGTATACAAAGGTAGGCAAAATATATCATTATAATCATGTCATCAGTGTTAGTTATTTAGTGTAGTTACTAGAAAAATAAACCACATATGTGACTAACAAGGGCTGGAAGTACAACGGTACAGCACATGCTTAGTAGACATGAGGCTCTGGGTTTAATACCTAGCACTACAAAAAATATACACATATCCATTTCTACCACACAGAACAAATCTAAAAGACAAGATGTTATCTATAAAAAAGAGCGAAGGATGGAATACTGATACACTGAGGTTAGTTGTGCCCAGAGACTAACCCCCAATGAATGCTGACTTCTAGTGACCTGAGCCTTAAAATCTTGCTGCTTAAAAATCTCAATAAATGTCCCTGTACCAAATAAGAAAACAAACAAACACCTCAATAAGTGAAATTCCAATGTTAATACAATTCTACCACATCAATGAACCCATAAAGCAAAAGGTTCCTATGGAAATCTTGTAAATAACTTACCTTTACAAACCAAGAATGATAGAGTCTGTCCCAGAGTTCTAGCACTTGCTTTTCAATTACAGCAGTATTGTTCACCTTGTCTCCTAGAATTTTATGAAGCTAGAAAAAATAAAGATTTAATATTTCAGGCAACCCTCCAATAAAACTAGTAAATACTGGGTCTTCATTTGTTCCAAACCAAATTAAAATGTTCCAGACTTTTAATTATTTCTAACCACACTGTTATTTTCTTAAACTCTATTCCTCAATGTTCATTCCTTCCTTCTCTTCTCATATCTTTTTGCTTTTTTTTTTCCTCTATTCTCAGGTCTCTAAGAGAGCTACTTCAAATAATGAGAGAATGGAGCAAATGAAGCCATGTTTATCAACCTACCTCATCTCATCTACCTAGAGAAAAACCTCTTCCCTGTGACCCTAGCACTCACCATTATTCATCAGTCTCATGTTACACATAACTTTATTAAGAATTGCCATAAAATTTTAGAACCTTCACTGTAAACACAAATCCTTCCCTTAGTTGGCTTACTGAGAACTACCAGGCCTCATACAACGATGACTGGTTGGAGTGGCTTCTAGGTTTGTGAGAATCAAACACACTGAAACAAGATAATCTGCATTCATTAGAATCTTATCCTACTTTTTATTTATTATTAAAACCATATTATAATTGTAAAGATAATTTCAAAAGACAAACATTGAACTATAGATACATTTGTTTAATAAAGACTCCATTTCTCCATGTCTCTGCAACTTTCCGAACTACATTCTTTATTTTTACTTTATTTTTCACTTTACTTTTATTTTTATTTTTTATTTTAATTTTATTTTTTATTTTTACTTTATTTTTATTAAGTTATAATACTACTTAGTCATAGGATATAAAGATAGTTCTCAATTTTTAATGTCATAATACTGCACTGACCATCTTTATACGTAGTTATTTTTTTCTAATCACTAATAGTAAAATAAATACACAAAAGCCAAAGAAAATGATGGCTCTGGCTATAACTGCTAAACAGTCTTCTCAAAGATTGTGCCAATTAATACCTTCCAACATTGTACGGGCAAACCAATTTTCCCAAAGCTTTATGGACTAACTAAAAACTTTTTAGATAATTTAGCAAGTATAAAATGGTAACCCATTCTTTATCTTTTTTTTTCCTGAACGATTATTTTTTCTATATTGGTTTACAATGTGCATTTACTTAACTTCTGTCTGCTTGATGTTGGTTTTATACTTGAACTAGTCACTACACACATTGAATGTAAATACATAATTTTGTATTTAATTAATTTATTCATAAACTAGACAAAAGCAATGAATGTAACAGCCATCAATTTAGGCAAAGCATCTTACAATTTAAAATGGCTTTTACCTACATTATGCAATCTTTACAACAACCCAGAATTAGACAGAAAATGCTTTTGTTGGGCTGAGGATATACATCACAGGGCTAGAGAGCTTGCCTGGCATGTACAACACTCTGGATTTGATCCCCAATACCCCAGAAAAGGAGTAGGGGATAAAAGAAAGAAAATGGTTTTGTAATTACCTTTGTTCTTTTAAGATAAGAAAACAGATTTTGAAAGAGTCTATGATAAGCCCAAGGTCATGTAATTAAGTGGCAGTCAAGATGAAATATTTTCTAATGTTCTTTTAACTATAGCATGTATCACCTACGAACAAAAACCACCTCACAGAGCAAATTACTCAAAATGATTAAAAATAACAAATACAGTCTAATTTCCTTCACCTACTTTGAATTATTAGTCTTTTATATATCATATTCAGATACTCACTGACTTCCTGCTACCAATATTCCCTGTAAGCTTCTGAGATCTCCCTAACCAAAAGAGACCTAAAATTGTTAAGTCTACACACAGTGGCCTTTAATGCAATAAAACACTATTTTAAGATGGCATTTCCTCCAGCTGCCTTCCCAGTGCAACGGTGAATAATTCTAAACTACCACAACTATTAAAGTGAAGGACAGTATGGCAAAATTTCAAGTTATAAAATACTGATTTTAAAACCACAGTGCTATCAACCATAGCATGACTACCATCACAGCAGGATACCAAACATAGCATGACAACCATCACAGACCCAGAACACTGTTCTGTGACATTCTAATACACAAAAGTCACAAGGAAGACTGAGCCAGAGCGCAGGGAGTCTAATGGGCTCAATACCGCTATCAGGAGAATCACTAAAGCATGTGCTGCTGATAGTCTATGACATGCTCTCTTCGCTTGACAAGAAGAAAGCAACAAGAGCAGTTAGAGTGCCACTTGAGAGCCATCTCACTGAAGACAAATAACCCGGTGTGTCGAAAGGGGCATAAAAGTCAGGGGCAACTGTTTACTCACCTTGCTTCAAACCTCAGCCAACACTGCTGCAGCTACCCAGTCTTTCTTGATACATTTTCTTCTCTAAACGTCCATGTTACACACAGGTCAGTTTTCTCTGCCACTTCAAGTACTACTCAGTTGGCTGGCTCTAGACTTCCAAAAGCTCAAGTCCTCCAAAGGTCTGTCTTTGGTCCTCTCTCTTTTTTTTTGAAGGGATTATTATTGTGCACAGGGCCTCAAGCATACTAAGCAAGTGCTCTGCCACTGAGCCATAATCCCCAGCTCTCTTTAGTCCTGTCCTAGCTATACTTTCACCTTTAGCCATTTTATGGCCTGTAGCATACCCATTCCATTCACATGTCAAAGTCCTACTCACCAATACCTCAGAATGTGACTGTATCTGCAGATAGGGTGTATGTTAAAATAAGTTCGTTAGCATGGACCCTAGTTCAGTGTAACTCGTGTCCTTATCTGAAAAGATCAGGGCACACAGGGAAGACCATGTGAGATAGCAACCATAGAGAAGCCAAGGAGAGAGGTCTCAGTAAAAACCACTCCTGCCAACACTTTAATCTCAGACATCTAGCCTCCAGAATTGTGAGTCAATAAACTTCTGTTGTTCAAGCCACCCATTCTGTGGTACTTTGTTATGTCAGCTGCAGAAAACTAATAGACACCCTGTCACCCAATCCTATAATACCATGTGATAAATCTCAAGCCACTGCCTATTCCCCCAAAGCTCCAGCTGTGCATATACAACTGCTTTCATGGCAGCGCTATCTATTTAACAGGCATCTCGAACTGAATATGCCTCAAACAGAACTACTGACTTACCTATGATACCTACTCCACCATCCACTTCCATGTCTTTTTCATCACAGCTATCCATGTAGTTGAGCAAACCACAATTTCCGTGCCTTATACTTTACATCTAGTCCATAAGTAACTTCTGTTAACACATCAAAAATATATCTCAAATCTGACCACTTTTCTCAATATCGATGTCCACAAACACGGACCATCAGAATAACGTTATCTGGCTTCCCTGCCTTCTGCTTTCTTGATCCTTTCCCCCAAATGAGCTGTTAACACCCCAAATCAGGCCATATTCCTATGCTGTGTTTGTATAATGCTTGATTTATAACTGAAATAAAACCACAACTTCTAGTCATGACCTATGGCTCGCCCCATTGCCTTGTTCCTACTCCAGCCACATAGGCCTCCACACCGGCCTCCTTTCTGTCCTTCAACTAAGTTCATTACTATCTCATAATCTTTGATTTTTCTCTGCTCTCAGCTTGACACGTTCTTTTCTGAGACCATCACCATCTGGGCCTTCTCATCATTCAAGTCTTCATGGGAAAGTCACCTCAGAGTTCTTTTCTGGACAGTCTAGCCAAAGCATCATTCTGAATCACTCTGTACCAAATTACTCTGTACATAGCACTTCTTAGCACCCGAAATTATTCCTTCTTTACATGCTTAGTGATGCTCTCCTCACTTCTTTTCTCCAGCACTTAGCACAGTAACTAGCATGGTTATGGACTGGCTGGCAATTTCTCCATTCAGTCACGGCAGAAGGAACAGAGAAGACACATTACTTATTTTCTTGCTATTCTAGGGTAGCACCTCCAGATGCAAATTTTAGAGATTTGTATCAAACAAAAGGATGTCAAACAAAAGGATAGCTTGAGCAAGGATGCTGCATGAGGAAAGCTAACTGGGAGGGATACACAGAACCCAAACAATACATAAGGACACAGGAGATAAGGCTGATAAAATAGGTTAGGGCAGACAAAAATATTGTCCACCCTACTCTAAGCATACCCCAGAAGACTTCTCTGGGCATGACATTCTTCCCTAGTTTCAGCCCTCTCTAGACATTAGCTTTTACATCCCAGTTCTTACAAGATTCTTAGCTAGGTTAGAACTGAGATCCACTACAAAGTTACATCCAAAGTTTCAATTGGCTCTTTTTAAAACAATTTCATTGAGGTATAATTCACATACTTTACAATTCACCCAGTAAAGTATATAATTCAATGATTTTTAATATATTCAGTTATGCAACCATTATTACAGTTAATTTTAAAACATTTTCATTAGCCCAAAAGGAAACCCTAGGCCATTAGCAGTCAGCTCCTTTCTCTTCAGTATCCCTTATTCCTGGAAACCACTGTATTCTCCGACTATATGGTTTTGTCTCCTCTGGATCTTTCACGCAAGCAGAATCACACACGTGTGGTCTTTCTTGACTTTCTCTCACTCAGCATAGCATTTTCAAGATTAATCTACATTGTAACATTTGTCAATATTCCATTCCTTTATATGTTTAAAACAGTCCACTATATAAATTTACCACTTTTGATTGACCCACCTATCAGCTGATGAACATTTAATGGTTATTTTTTAAATATCTCCTTGTCTTCTAAATCAGGATCTCAAGCATTTTATAATTTTGGTTATCAATGCCCACCTCTTTTCAGCTTTCCTTATTTCTACAATTTTTTTTCATCTTTTTGAGACAGGGTTTCAATATGCAGTTCAAACTGGCCTTGAGCTCATTTTGTAGCCCAGGCTGGCCTCAAACTTGCAACAATCCTCCTGCCTCAGCCTCTCGAGTGCTGGGATTACAGGTGTGTGCCACCACACCTGGCTATTTCTACAATCTTGAACAAAAAAGTTCTCTATGTAATGAGAGACCTATGTTTTAAAATCTAAGGTAGATTTCTCCAGCCATCCCAAATTCCCTTTCTATATCTTGCTCCTCTGAAGAATTCCATAATAGAAAACTCTGCCCCAAATATAAACCAAGAATAAAATGCTATGCTTTCAACAAAGTTATTCATGGAAGGGTAAAAGCCTTCTACAATGACTAACTCTTTCTACAGTAGATCTAAGAGCAGTATCCACATATTTATCTTTCACTTATTCAATAAATAGATTTTTTTTAAAAACTTGATATATGAGAATTGATTAAGTTATCTGGGATAGACCCGAGAATTAATGACACACTTTCTCTCAACTTTTGACTATGGTTCCAACCTTAGATTAGCAAATCACCTTTTGTGCATACATATAGTATATCGTCCATCATTTGGGGGTGGAGTGGGTAGGCTGGTTGTTTTTTGAGGTTGAACAAGGAATCACACTCGTCAGATTTTCTGGGCACAAGCCCCACTTCAACAAATCTTGTCAATAACCACAATCTTAGTTACTTCCACATGTTAAAGCTGCAATTTACCTTCAGTCTTATGGGCAAGACTGGAACTTTTAAAAAGGATACCCCATATTCATGTCCTGGGGGTTCATCTTATAACTGCGGTGACTGTGTCTCTTCCCCTACACTCACTTCCCCTTCACAAAGCTCCGTCCTCTTCAGTCAAGGTCATCTCCTCAAGCACATTCCAGTCCCTGCATATTCACTCAGAAAATACCCTTCTTGAAACACACACTTGCTTGACCTGTGATCCTTCAGGTTTACCTCAAGTGCCACATGAGAGCCCTTAGCCTAGCTCCTGGCACACACTCCTAGCACACTACCGCAGAAAGCAGCAGGATTTAAAATTGGTCAGCAGTTGGAAGCCAATCTACATGGCCACTGGGGATATTTCATCATCTGTATGGCAGGCAGAATAATTCAGACTATTAAAGCTTTCTTAGAAAGATTAAATGAAACTAACTAGAAACTGCCAAGCATAGCACCAGCAAGTAAGAGGATTTAATATGCATTAATATCTTTTTCTTCACAAAGGCTTATTTGACCATGTAAATTTAGTGATCATTCTGTCCTAAGTACAAATACTGAGTCACATGTATCTTGGAAACAAAAGTAAATGACTACTTCTCAAGACTGTTTAGGCAACTAATACTACTCAATGTGATTACCAAAAGGTATGATTTCATTGTATGTTACTGAAAACTATTTCAAAAATTGAAACTGCTCCTAACAGAATCTCTGTTCATGCTTTTTCAAGGCAAGAATCCCTATCTATGAAGGTACTGAGAAGAGAAAGCCACAAAAAGGCTCTTCCCTTACCTTGTGGGTTATCCACTCTCGTCCATACTGATACACATTGTTAGCTGCAGAATTTAGGGCTCTTTGGACTACCTGCGCCTCAGGAAGCCAACTAATTTAAGCAGGAAAAAAAGGAAAAAAAAAAAAGATGCATTTTCAATGTGTTGTTCCAATAATACCATGAATTTAATGATATACAATTTAAACAAACTGTGGACCAATCATTAATGCACAGACACAAATGCATCACAAGTAGGAATCCTTGTAGGATATATAGGACTAACTATCCTAAGCATTTAGACCCACTGTCCCTACAGTCTCCCTTTCATTCTACTCTGCCTAGATTCTCTGTCCATGTATGTCCTGGGTCACCAGCCCATGCAGCACAGGGGGGAGTGGTTCTGGGACAATGGGATATTCGACATCCAGGACAAAGTTCTCAGAGTGTAGTCCATGGCCTCTAATGATTTTACAGTGTAAGGATATGAACAGGAACGTTGGGTCTCTAAACAAACAACATGACTTGGGAGACATGAAGAAGCTTTCAAATTATTCTAGTATTTATATTCATCAGTGGCTTGAGGGATTATTGACTATTTTCAATCATGTGGTACTATATGGGTAATTATACACCCTACTGTGTTATTCAAAAATGTGGGGATTTGCAGAGGTATCTGGATAGATCCTTAATGACTGATGAATATCTACTAGGTCCGGAAAAAGATGTTCTGGCTGCTGTGAAAACTATTTGCCAACATACTTATGCAGGTATCTGAAAAGCATTAGATGAAAGACCTGCTACAAGGCATTAACTGAATCCCAACCTCCCTGTGATGAGGCACAGGGCCAGAAACACCTGAGCAACACAGTTTGGGATAATTGGGTGTGTGCCTCGGTCTGACACCATCACAGTCACACAAGTGTTCAGCCAGTCACTAGCACTCAGTCAAGAGGGATATCTCAGCAGAAACCAAGTCCCTACACAATGTGGACTGGCCCACTGTCTCCCGAGTAAAAGTTCATGTCTATCATCATAAGGGTTGCCAAGAAAGCAGGCCTGGTTAAAAATAACTCAGTTTGGCCCACTGGGTTTCATCCAAGTAAGGGCAGGACTGAGCGATATTCAGCAGCATTTTAGTCCCACCTCCTAAAGAGAGTTCTGAGACTCATGAATCTGGAGGTTTGACACTAGTCAGCACAAAGCAGAAAATGAGCTCCAGACAATCAGAATCGCCCTAGATAAGAATAAGACCAGCTGCCACAGAGGAAAGTTTGCTCTACATAAGGAGGAGACGACGCTATTGTCAAACTGATTATATGCAACTGATAGGTTTTTTTCTGTAGCGTGGGAGCAAGGTGGCATTAGGATAGGAGCAAAGTGTTGGTAGTAACACTTGCAGACAGGCAAGCGTCAGAGGTAGAGCATGTCTTAGCCCAAGGCCCAAGAACCTACACAGCCTCACTGCAGTGCTCATCTGTTAAGGGAGCTTATTTACAAAAGTCTGTGGAATGCTCAGCCCCTCTTCTCATCTACCAAACAGAATCTCTCGGATGAGTCCCAGCGATCCACGGGTGTAACAGGCACCCGCACTGCTGCTTCTTCAAGCTTCAGTTTGAAAACTCAGCAAAGCATGAATCAGCAAAGGACATGGATTACACTCCATAATGATACCCGGAGCACCCGCAATGTCACAAACTCTGGGCAAAGAAATGCTCCAGTCAGCACCCTCAGTCACATGACTGTTGGCAGAGAATTAGGAATGTGCTCCAACTCTAACCAGTTCCCCAAGCACATGCACAAGTAGTGTAGGCCCCACACAGGCCATATAAAATGTGCACCAAGTTTTGAAGAAAGTACATCTGACTTATTTGTAACTGTCCCCTCCAGTACGAGTGAACACATGAATTGGTCCACTGCCTTCCTCACGACAAAACCCACTGAAAGTGCAGGAACCACTGCCATTACTTCATGTCCACCCCACTGTTTCCAATCCCAGCCCCACCAAGCTACTGCTGAAGAATGAGACCTTCTTCACATCACCAAAGTCTAACTTTTAAAAATCTCCCTGCACAGAATATTACTGTACTCATGAATATAAAGGAATAAAGTATTGATATATACATCTTGGACAGACTGTAAGGGAATTATGCTAAGTGATCAAAAGCCAATCTCAAAAAGCTGCATACTTCATAATTAGATTTCTGTTCCATTCTTGAAAAAATATTATCATAGGTATAAACAGATTAGTAGTTGCTTGGAATTAAAGATATTACAGGAGAATAGAGGGTAGATGTGGATATAAAGGACGGCATGATGAGCTCTGTGATGAATAGTTGTGTAACGTGTGTGTTGATGGCTTACACAAAGCTACACATAATGATAAAGTTATAGGGAACACAGTGCATGCAAAACTAGTGAGAAATCCAAAAATGGTATATTGCATCAGTGTACATTTCCTAGTTTTATTACTGTGTTAGTTATGCAAGATGACAACGTTGGAAGAGGTCAGATGAAGAGTACACGGACCGCCCTGTACGTGTCTTACAACCCCATTTGAATCTATAATTATTTCAAAATAACCAAGCAACAAAACACCTACCTACAACTATGTGGTCTCAAGCTACTCAGATTCTGTGTGCCTTCAAAACAGTAGTAGAAATGATGCTTCACAATTCAAAACCAGCATGGAAGAGCTCATGTTTATTTCTACTAAATAAGAATGACCAGTAAAGACAAAGAATCCTTTGGACATGAGGCTGAGACTGAGCTATCGAGGACAATACCTGAGGAAGGTCTACCATCCCATGAAAGGCTCCACCTGTTTACCTGGATTCCATGTGGCTTCTTCCTAAAATATAATTAATTTCTGGTACACACTGGTTCCTCCTTTCACTCTCTCTCATTTCCAAACGTATTATGTTTAAAAGAGCCAGAGAACACAAGATCTCACTTTCTACTCCAAGGCATATTGACCCCTATTTCCCAATCCCATCCCACTAAACTCACAGTATTTACACTCATGCTGACTTGTTTTCCTCAGTTTGTACCATAAATCTACCTTATGCTACATCCTCACACTAACATACTAATTGTCCCTTGGTCTTAATATTTTCAATTCTTTCTAGTCTCCCAATTCTTTCCCATCAATGTATACGCAAGCTTCCTCTATCTTAAATTTTAAAATTCTGCTGCACACTTCACTCCACCTCCAGCTACTTTTCCACAGACAAATATGAGAAAGAACAGTGTATACCTAACTCTCTTTTTCGCCATTTCCTCACTTCCCAGTAATTTCTCAATTACAATGCAATCTAATTGGGTTCTGCGCTGCCAATCAAATGGACTGCTTGCTCTTGCAGTCACTAAATCCAGCTTCACTCTTGACCTTATTTCCTCTGCAACAGATCTGTGCAGTACACACGCGTGTGGTGCTCTGAACTGAACCCAGGGCCTTAGGCATACTAATACGCACTTTCTCAGTGATCTACACTCCTAGCCTCTCTGTAGCAATTAGAATGTGCTTACTTTCTCCCCTTAGTCTTCCTCTTGCTTTTCTTATAGCCCATTCTCATTCTACTTTGCCAATCTATTATTTTTTTCTCAGCCTAAAAGACTATAGAGATGATCCAGAGCACACACTCAGGCATCCTCTCTATGCATTATATACATTCTTTCTTTCTGCTACCACAGTTCCAATCCAGGTTCTTCATGATTCCTGAACTCCCACACCAACTATCAATTTACCCCCGATTTTGCTCTGGCACTGCATAGCTGCTAACGATGTAGTCACTTATACTTATTATAGCTACTTATACCTTACTATACCTACCTAAAACTCTGTAGACAAAAACTTTTCTCCACTAAATCTGCTCTTCTGTTTTCTAACATTCTGGATTTCCAACACCATCCTCTAATTCCCAAAGCTAGAAATAAGTCATACTGGAGTTGTTCTTCCTATATCCAATTCATCACCAACTAGCTGCTTAAGACCACACAAACCTATCCGCTCTGTTTGCTCCCACTATAACTGTACACAATTCAGGACTTCAGCACCTCTTCTCAGGTCTATTCGAGGAGCTTTAACTGGACACAATGCTCATTCTTCTCTCCACAAGGCAAACGAAAAAGACTGCTACAGAATGAAATCTGATGCCACTTCTCTTCTTATATTCTTAATCAAGATAATTAACATAACTATCACTTCCTTGCATCCCTTTGTGGCCCCTTCCTGCAGTCCCACTCCACTGTGGTCTGCAGCAGTCACTCATCCTTCTGGTACTGCAGGTTATACACAGCTTCTACTCTCTAGAACTTAACATAAATGGAATCATACTCCATGACACATTTTTTGCTGGACTTCTCTCAACACACTTATTTTGAGATTAATTCATGTTGGCACATGTACTTTTAGTTCATTTGTATTTAATGCTGAGTAATATTCCATTGTATAGATATGCCACAGTTTGTAACTAACAAGAAATATTCGGACAAGCACTCTGGGTATGCTCTTAAGTAATACATGAAGTAGGTACATTTTGAAAAAAAATTCTCTTAATATTCAAATATGATTCTAAACCAGTTTTGAGTAGTGGCCTAAGTAGGTTTTATTAACAGAAATAAGAGTCAAAGGAGAAAATCAGGGCTGGGAATGTGGCTCAGTGGTACAGTACCTGGCCAGCATATACAAGGCTTGGGGACTATCCTCAGTACTACAAAAAACAAAGGAGAAAAATCTACTTCAATGACAATTTATAATCCTAAAATCGGTTAGTAACTACCTAGCAGTTAATTTTAAAAAGGAAAAAAAGTCGGTCATATATTCGTCCTCAAATATACAGTAAGATAAACATCAGAGCTCTGCTGAACGTTGTTCACAAAGATCTAATACCCTTCTTACAAAAGGCAATTTAAACAAGTACACAGCGATTCTTGAACAGGGTTCAATGGATTTCTGTAAAGAACCAGAGAATAAACACTTTAGGCTTTGCAGAACATATACTCTCTACCACAACTACTCAATTCTCTCTGCCCTTGCAGTCTAGAATCAGTTACAGACAATAAGTAAATGGATGAACACAGCTATGCTCCAATAAAACTTTAATTGACAACAACAGGTGGCTGAATTTGGTCCTGAGCCACAGTTTGCCTACGCTTTCCCCAAAAATAATACAAAATGCGAGTATGTCCGGCATTACATGGAGAGTTGAAGAGTCGCAAGTTACAAGGCAATGCTCCCCACCGGCTGTAAAGACTAGCTCTGCCACTGAAGAATCATTCTCTCAAGCCCATTAACCTACGATCCTGCTTCCTCATTTGTACATGGGGTAATGTGTTCAATCTTCCTCAGCCACTGTGACAGACAACAGAAAGCAGATGAGTGTCACTTAGCATACACTGTTCCTAAAATCTTAAGCACTCCCCTCCTCCCTTTCCCCGGTATTACATGCCATTCTTCTGCAAAAATCACATTATTTATCAAAGCTTATCTGTCATCTTCCAATACAGCTGTATTAACGAAGATCATTTCATGCAAGCAGCCACTGAAACTAGGTCATCCATCTCTATTCTTTTTCAAAACAATATTCTTACTTTGCCCACTCAGGGTGATTCGCTAGAGTTTCATTAATCAAATTACTTGTGACTTCAATCATGTGTACACTTTCTTGATGTACCTGTATTATGGATAAAGAGAGAAAAGAATCTCAGTAACAAAACTAATTTAAAATTTTTTACTCTATTATCGGAAAAATGCTTTTAGAATCAAGTAATTATGCATCTTGGTTGGAATTAACTTAGAAACATGCACCAAGAAGTTGCTAAATGTATGAGAAAAAACAAGCACATTATAATTCTCTGCCTTGAACAAGCTCAACAATTTGGTTAAGAAAAACCAATAGCTATGTATAAACACTTAACACATACATGAGCACATACAGCTTATATACATTGTATATGTGTATATATACGCATGCAGTACAAACACCAGAACTCATATACTCTAAGGTGAGGTATAGGTAAGAAAATAACTGGAAAAGATTTGTGACTACAAATAACCCAACTCAAACTGCACCTCTGACTTTGCCTTCCACAATAACCAACAAAATGAGAGGGATAACAAAGGCAGAAACTATACTGGGAGGGGGAAGCTTGCCTACATCTCAATAGGAAAAGAAACATAATTTGATGCCATCAGGAGCAGAGCATCAGCAAAGAAACAAAACATTCTGGAGCACAACAAAGAAGCCCAAGGCTCACCCCTAAACTGACTTCCACACCCAGAAGCTTACAGGTGAGCTGACGAATTCTTGCACTACACATGTAACATGCAAATCTACACACATGTAACATGCAAATCTACAGAAAGAAAACCATATCCTTATCTTTTTCTGACCGAAGAAAAATGGAAACTACAGCAAGGGAGAAATGGCTACGCCAGAGGAAAGAGACCAACAGTGACAGATCAACCTCACCCCATCTCTCACTGACGCTTGCCCTTTGTGCAGTGAAAGCTCTAGAATACAGAAGGAACTGGGAGAAACAATATAAAGATTAAGGGTCTTTTTCCACAGAATGGGTATGACCTTACCCAAATGACCAAAATAAAACCACTAGTGTAAATCAATACAAATGACAGAATAGAACAGAGTCTAAGGTATCCTAATAAGGTACACCATGATACCCCACTGTCACTCCAATCAGTTCCAATTCTCTCAGGCCGCAGAGAAAGTACAGACCCCCCCCCACACACACACACACACAACCAGCTACAGTTTGAAGAGGAAAACAAACCAATTTCAGACACAATGAGGAAACGATAACTCAAACAGAATGCCTTAAAAAAGCCAGACCAAACAAGGCCTTACAGGTTCTTGTGAAAAATCTGGCTTTCACTTTGTAGGACCTGGGAAACCACAGAGGGCTTTAAGCTTAGAAGTGACATAATGTTATCCAAGTTCTTAAAGTAAGTTTGGATGATGTGTTGAGAACAGTGAAGCAGGGAAATCAGCTAGAAGGGTACTTCAATAGCTGAATCAAGGGACTGTGACAGATTCAAGCAGGCCACTGGTGGTAGAGATGGTAAGTAATTGCATTTGGGAGGGTTAGCATTGTCTCTTGCAAGTTACTCCAATCTTGCATTCCTCAAATCAACCTCACGTGGTTATGGTTTATCATCCTTTATGTGTGTGTGTGTGTGTATGTGTGTGTGTGTGTATATGTATATATATATGTGTGTGTGTATGTGTATATATATATATATATATCTCACTGGACTTCATGTGTTAACATTTGTTAAGGATTTTTGTGTCCGTCTGTAAAAGATATTGATCTATACCTTTCTTTCCATGAACATCTTTGACTTTGGTGTTTGGGCAGTAGCAGACTCAAGGTGAGCTAGGAAGTGCTACTTCTTCTTCCGCTCTGTGAAAAAGGCTGTGTAGGACAGATAACATTTCTTTATTGACTGCTTGACAAAACTCGTCAGTGAAACCACTTGGGCCTGAACTCTTCTCTGCAGGAAGATTTTCACACTGATTCAATTTCTTTTCTTGATATAGAACTACTCAATTGTTCTACTTCTTAAATTAGACACAGAAGGCTAATTATCACAAGTTTTCTCTTATATGAGAAATCCAAAATATAAATAATTTAAAGAGCACAATAATGGAGAGATGGTAGGAAACATGTATCTGTATCTGTAGGTTTTTCAGAGGTTGGGGAGGTTCTGGGGAAGGGGGGGGTACATTAATCAAGATGCAATGCACATATGTACCACTTCCCCCAAATAAATGCAATTATTATATTCTACAAACATGTCTGAATAAAAACTTTTAAAAAGTTTTTTTCCCTTTCTTCTCACATTTGTACTGTTTCTTCTTTATAAGGAATCTCTTCATTTAATCTAAATTATCAAATCTGATGGACATAATTTGTTTACAATATTCCCTTTTTATCTATTTTTTAAAGACAATCTCACTGTGTAACCCAGGCTGGCCTCAAACTCAATCCCCCTGCCTCAGCCTCTGGCATGCTGAAATGACAGTCATGTCCCACTATACCCACCTTCCTTTGCTACCCTTTTAAGATCTATGAGGCAGATGGTAATGTCTCCCCTTTCATCCTTTACACTGTTATCTTCTTTTCATCAATCTTGGTAAACATTTACATTTTATTCATATTTTTCAAAAAAAGATTCTTATTTTATTAATGGTTTTTCTCTTTCTTCTTTCTCCATTTCCAAATGCACTGATCTGCACTTGATTTTTCTTTCCATTTACTTTGGATTTACTCCTTTTGCTAGCTTCTTCAGGCAGAACTTTGCACCACTAACTTGTTTTTCTATAATTTAATGCCATAAATTCTCTCCCAAGCACTGCTCTGGAAGTACCTTATAAATTCTAGTATGTACTGTATCCACTTCACAATATTCTCTAACTTCCCCTGAAACTCTTTTTTGATAAAATTATCTACATAGTGCCTAATTTCTGAGTATTTGCAAATTTCTGACTTAATTCTGTTAGTGATCGATCTCTAATTCTGTTGTATCAGACAACATGCTATATAATTTTAATACTTCCAAATTTATTGAGCACATTGTTTATCCTGCCAAGTCTTCCATGTTTACTTGAATGTAATTCCAAATGTCAATTACATGAGGGTGATGACAGAATTTTAAAAGGTTTTTAAATGCTCACTAATTTTCTATTAATGCTCTCAATTGTTACAAGAGTAATATGATCTCTAATCATACATTTTTCTATTTCTTCTTTTAATTCTGAACGTTTAAGATATATCGTAGAGTTATGTTAGGAGCATATATATTTACAATTATATCCTAATGTGGTATCAACAATTATGAAACATCCTTACTTTCCTGCATAATAATTCTAAACTAGTATTGTAGGACATTAATATAATTACACAATATGTTTTGTCTCTCTTCCAGATAGCATTTAGTTTACAAATTTTATTTTTATATTCAGACTGACAATCTCCATTTTTTGACTGGAGTGTTTAGTTGCTTTATGTCATCTCCTTCCTTTAATGTCCCCTGTGTTCAGTAAGTTTTTTTTTTTACTTTTCCATTTTAGTTCTCCTAAACTTTACATTATTTAGTGGTTGCTATTAGACTTCTCTAAAACCTTTCTCCCCCAACAAATGGGATGGACTCACACTAAGTTACACACTCAGTCCTACTGACTGACTGACTGATTGATTGATTGATTGACTGAGGAAGGGTCTTCCTAAGTCACTAAATTGCCAAGGCTGCACTCAAATTTGCGCTTCTCCTGCCTCAGCCTCCCAGAGTGTGGGGATTACAAGCACGCACTACCATGCCTACCTTACCACATTTCTATTTTATCACATTTTACTTCAAGCTAATACTGATTATATGCACAAAAAATTCATAATACCTACACAGTAGTATAGTTTCTAACCTTCTCCTCTGAGAATATACTAGGACTATATACTACACATGAATAGTATATTATAAAGTCTACAATTGAGTGTTGTTAATTTTTGTCTAAAATCACATGGTTTGAATAAATTAAAAGGGGGAAAAGGGGATGGGGATTTAGCTCAACGGCAAAGCGCCTGCCTGGCAAGCGCAAGGTCATGAGTTCGGTTCCCAGTACCGGAGAAAAACCAAAAAAAAAAAATAAATAAAAGGGGGAAAAATAGCTTTTACATTTATCTACATGTTCACAAAGTGCTCTTTATTCCTTTGGAGTCACTTCTTTCTGTTCTAAAGGAATCCCTTTAACATTCCTTACAGTGCAGCTATATCAAAAACTCTACTTTGCTTTACCTAGAAATGTTTTTATCTTGCCTTTACTTTTAAATAGTTTCACTGAATACAAAATTGTTGGTTGACAAGTTTCTTTTTCCATGATTTTAAACGTCACTCCAGTGTCTTTTGGTGTTCACTGTTGAATATGAAAACTATCTAACTGTATTTTTGTTCCCTTATGTATGATTTCTTCACTTATGTATGGTTTCTTCTCTATCTGTAGCTTTGAGCAGTTACACTAAGATATGTTTAGGTATGGCTTTTTGTTCTTGTGTGTTTATATTCTCCTGAGAATTTGCTGAAATTCTTAGATCTATTAATATTCTTCACCAAACATGAGAAGTTTTCAATCATTTCCTTCATTAAATATTTGTTTCCACCTTTTTCTTTCCCTCATCTCATCCTCTGGGATGCCAATGACATCTACACCTTTCAGGGCGTTTGCTATTGGCTCACAAATTTCTGAGGCTCTGCTCACGTCCTACTGGACTAGACAATGGCATCATGGCTATGACACCAAGAGCTCAGGCATCACGCCAAAAAAGACAAATGGGGACTACCTCAAATTTAAATATTTTGGTGCATCAAAAAATACCTTTAGCTGGGCATGGTGGCACATGCCTAAAATCCCAGCTCTAAGGAGGACTGCTGTGAGTTTAAGGCCAGCCTGAACTATAGGCAGAGTCTCAAAACAAAAACCACCACCACCACCAACAACAACAACAAAAAACCACCTTTAGGAACACCTGTACTGTGCTGCTGTTCTCGTGGAACAGGATTAGAATAATCTAAGCTATTAGCTGACTGTTACCTGGCTGGTCATTCTCCAGTGGCAATATTCATAACTTTAGATTGTTTCATTCTTGTTTTCAATGGAGAGACATTACCTGACACCCTCAACTCAGTTATTATCACAGGAATATATTAGGGTAGGGGGGATTGTTTTTATTTTTTTGAAAGAGCCTTGCTATGTAGCGCAGGCTGGCCTTGAATTCACTATGTAGTCCCAGCTGGCCTCAAACTCATGGAGATCCTCCTGCCTCATCCTCCCAAGTGCTGGGATTATAGGGAAGCATTACCAAACCTGTCTCAGATATACTAGCAAGGCTAAGCCCAAAAAGATAAAACAAACTAGATGTGGATACAAAACAGATGACTCTGAGATTTTTTCATCTGAGTCAAGGATAACTCTGAGGCTTTTCATCTAAGCAAACAGAAGAACAAAGTTATCATTGAAATGAGAAGATTATGAGAAGAACAGATAAGAAAAGGTCTAGAATTAAATTTTGGTGTGTTACTCTTGAGATATCTATTACTTATTCAAGTGGATACTATCACGGTCTTTGTGAATAACACCTGTACTGATAGAATAAAACCTCCCTCAAAAGCTCAGTTTGCATAAATCATAGACAAGAGAGAAACAGTTCAGTTAACATCTGTCATCCAAGTTCAGGGAAGAAAAGTTCACTGCGCCATAGGATGAACAAAGAAAAAGAACCTGAAAGATGGCACAATTGTGGAAGAAGACCTGATGCAAAAGGACAAAGAAGGGAAAATAGAAGAGCAGGAGAGAGGAGAAAGGAAAGCGAAAAGGTTTCGCTGAGAACCAGAATAGAAGACTGCAGTTTAGACAAAACATGATGAAAACAAACCAAGGCCCCTAACGTCTGTATAGCGTAAAAGTAACTACATGCTTGATGATAATCAAAGAACAGACAAGGGCTGCACTAAGTCAGGAGAGCAGGTTGTCAGTTAGGAGCAAATGAGAGGATAAATCTGAGGATACAATAAGGCTGAGATTCACCGAGAAAGTGACTTCCAGGAGGAGCTACTTGGTGTCACAAACAATGTAATTCTTTAGCAAAATGAAGCTTATTCGATTTTTTTTTTATTGGTAACTGATACTAAAATACAGATACAAGATTACAAGAAACATTTTATTATCTATGATTTCCTGTAATACCTTCTCAATTCTTTGAAAACACACTAAAATCTCAGAATGGAGTTCCGTAGAGTTCAGACAAAATAAACATTGAAATAAAGAAGAGTCAGAGAAACCAGGCTGGGGGTTCGGCTCAGTAGTGCAGCACTTGCCTACAATGCGCTACGCCATAGGTTTGATACCCAGGATTGCCAAAATCAAATTATCTGACGTCAATAAAAGACAGGTATCACCGTAGGGACGAAATTTTAGCTGTGTTTTGGTTTTGATGGGATGAAAAGGACGACAGGAAATGTAACCTGGGAAGCAGGAAATAAAGATCCTATGGTGCATCAGCACAAAAACCAGGGAGACAGGAAGGGAGGGAGCTAGACAAATTCTAAAAGCAAGCGCTGTGGTGTGTGCCTAAGTAGTCTGAACTACTCAGGAGACTGGGGCAGAACGATCACTGGAGAACAGGCTTTGGGGGCCAGCCCGGGCAAGGGACTGGTCAGAAGACAGCAGAGCAGAAGAGAGAAGAGGGAGGAGGGAGAAGGAAAGAGGAAGAGTGGAGGGAAGGAGAGGGGAGGGGAGGGAAAGGGAGAGGAGCGGAGGGATTCTAATCTCGTGGATAGGATACTACACCTAGAATTGTACGAGCAGTTTACGATTAATATATTTTTTAAAAGCCTCATTCTTTTTACCTGCATTTGCCCCTAAGGATTTGATGACAATAAAATAAAAATACATGCAAAAAAGATTTTAAAAAGAAGACACATCAGCAAATCAATGGCAAAATTAGTAATATACAAATCGTAAGTACTTTAGTTGTTATATGTATTTATAAGTCAAGCATATCATACTACAATTCTAACAGTTACAGATTTATTGATGGGAATAGGAATTATTGTACTTTACCTTTGCAGTCAGGAGAAGAGCTAAAAGAAGGGTTCCTATAACTAGCAAAAATATGATGAAAATGCTAATTATTTTATCTAACATCTTCTCCAACCAGATGATCATCTGCACAGAAATGAAAAAGAAAATTACTTTTCCTTAAAGTATGACTTGATAAACAAACACACACACACACACACACAGACTATTCATTATCGCAAAGCAAACTGACATACTAGTTAAAGCAGTAAAAGCCGTACACAACTTTAGAAATTAACTAGCAGTATTAATTACTGATGTTATTTTGTGAAGAGTTCATTATTGCCACAGCTAAGGCAGTAAATCAGACTAAATGTCTGAATTCTCAGACTGTTCTCTATAATGAGGATCCACCAGTTAACCTGAGATGTCATGAAGTTGTACTCAGTTGGTAAGTAAGAGGACTTTGGAAGGGGCAGGCTCCTTATAAATACAAGTGTGTCCTAAACTGTACAGATTCAATTGGAGCAAATTAAAATACATAGCTTAATTACATTCAAATGTTTTTCCTTCTGATTTCATTAGGGTTATAAAAGACAGTAGTAATAAAAATGTAATGTTAAGAAAATGACAAAGAGCACATTCAGGAGAACTGCTACCTTGAGAAGGACATAGATGTTGGGAGGTAGATGCATGAATGGGTAGTTATTTTGGTAGTTTTACTAAACTGGGGGATAGGCAAATAGGTGTTCTTTAAATCTTTTTGTATGTAAAATATTTCATAATAAAACTTTTGTAAAAGTCTGATATCCCCTTAAAGCTTCTACTCATTTGAAAAAATAAACATTATGACATAACTGTAATTAAGTAAATGTAAATTAATTAATTTGGTGGTCCTTTCTTCATCGATAATTAAAATCATACTATCCCGACATGCTATGTGGTATTCTATATTAACTGTACCTTCCTTCAGCTTTAACAACCACAAACAATTCTACTTTTTTTTTTTTTTTGGTACCGGGAATCAAATTCAGGACCTTGTGCTTGCCAGGCAGGTGCCTGTGCTGCTGAGCTATATCCCCGGCCCTATCCTACATTTTAAACAATTGTTTGCTGAATATATAATAATTCTGATAGCTTTCTGTAATTCCTCCCATGCAAAGTATTTAATATCTTGAAACTACATTTGATTAGATTAACAGTTGCCAAGAGACCACATTACACACGTCAATCCCAACATGAGCTACAGCACTGCAAACATTAATTTCAATCTAAATTAGGCTCTCCAAGCAGTAAGCTAAACATCTATGATCAAAGAATATTTGTTTTTAAAAACTACCATGATTTCAAAAACATTTCTTTTCCACTCAATCCTTATCAGCCCATCGTCCTTCTTATCTCATGAAGGACACGGTCACTAAGAAACCAATGCCACAGTAAACTCAAAGATGTTCATCCTTAATCTTGACAATTAGAACAAACAAAGGAGTTAAATTTTCATGCTACCAAAGCATCAAAGACAATGCAGAGATTAAAGGAAGGAATAACAGGTTTCTAAGATATGGAAGGTCAGATGCATTATTTTGAAGGTATTTCCAAAATTAATGAAATGAAATTTTTCACAACAGGAAACCAGCTCACACCTGGTCTTGGAGACCTCTTCCTGAGGAAAGCTAGCATGGCATCACTCCTCTACGTCTCCAGAACCTAACTGTACCTGGCACATGGTAGGCATTCAATTAGTATTATGTATCTCAATAAATAAGCATGAAGGAATTTCAGAATTAAGACTGGATTTATATCCACAAATAGTAATTTCTGAAAATAACACAAGAGGGTCTGGATTATTTTTGTTGTTGTTGTTGTTTTTTTTTTTTAAGTCATATCCTGAAATATATTTTTAAATGAAAATGATGTTTTATTTACAAAGTATGAAGATCTAACTTTATACAAAGTATAAAGAGCCTGGTAATTTTAACATAAAAATATGAAATACCCACAAACACATTGTACACATCGACATTAAAAAATGAAACTATATGTTTCTGTCCTAGCTTGGACAGAATTTTCCCAAATCCAACTTTGTCAGGAATTATGTATGACATACTTGCTTAGGGCACTGGACGCCCCTCATCAACCTAACCTGCTGTATACCCAGGCATTTGGTCACCAAGGGATAACATAAGAATCACATTTCATTAAAAATTAAACTCATTTAAGATACTCAGTGCATATGCTAAACAATTGTCTGTTCAGACTGACACTATGGATAGCTAAAAAATAAGCTGGGAATAGGGTCAGAAGGAAGACAATAAAAAAGAAAAAAATGGAAAAAATCCATTCAAGAATCAAGAGGAAGTGCCAGGAATGGTGGCACATGCCTATAGTCCCAGCACTCACTCGGGAGGCTGAGACAGAGGGACTGCTGTCTCTGGAAGAGACCAATTACTTTAACTTTTATTTTTTCAAGGAGTTCGAGGCCAGCTTGGGCTAAAAAGTGAGTTAAGGGCCACATAGTGAGACCCTGTCTCAAAAACAAACAAACAAAAAACAGACACTGAAGAATCAAGAGGAATGAAAAGTGATGTGCCCTACACCTGGGATCCAGCTCTTGGGAAGGCAGAAGCTAAAAGATCTCCAAGTCTGAGGCCAGCCTGGGCAACTTAGTCAGGCCCTACGTCAAAACAAAATCAAAAAGGCTGGGGGACGTAGCTCAGTATCACAGCACTAGCCTAGCCTGCCCAAGACCCTGTGTTCAACCCTGAGAACCAAAAAAACAAACATCAAAGGAATGAAAGAGAACAGAGAGAGCCAAGAGAAGAAAAAAAGATGGGGGGGGGTATAAAACCTAGGACCAACAGATAAAACAGGAACTTGTGAAAGAAAGAACTAAATCTCTAAAAGAATGAATGTAACAATACCCACAAAGAAACAAACTCCGAGACACGGAGAGAGACCTGGAGAAAGGGACCAGAGAAAAGCATTCCTAAAGAAATGCCAGGGGTGTCACCCAGGAGGTTGCCCCATGTTCTGTTGTACGCAGGAAACTAAACCACCCACCCCCTCTACCTGGCTTATGGAAACTGTACATGGTCTCTAATAAATTCCGCACTCTTTCCAGGAAGAGATCAATTACTTTAACTTTTATTTTTTCAAGGGGAAGGGAGTAATTTTAAAACATCCTAAATGTTCCCAATGTGAAAGAAGGGTACGCGTAAGTTTACAGATGTCAGTAAATTATAACTGTAACCAAAGCCACGCTGAAACTGCTAGACTGGCTATGCATCAAGTTATTAAGAACGTATCATTCATTCAAGATGCATGTTAGGCTCAGTGGCACACGTCTATCATCCCAGCCACGTGGGAGGATGAGGGAGGAGGATTCCAAGTTCAAGGCCAGCCTTGACAGTTTCTCTTTTAGTTCACTATTCTAGGCCTACAGGTTTTCATATCGTGTTATTTTTTAACCAAGTGCTAGTTGAGTCTTAGTGTAAACAGTCATACCAAATAAAATAAGGCCTGAGAAGGGTCACAGCTCAATGAAACATGAGCTGTGTCCTCTCACACCTTCTCTTCTTATGACCGATTTCCTCATTCATTCCACTTGACAGTTTTACATAACCAATGTAAATACCCAACTTTGCAATTTTTGACCCAGGATTCAGTGTAAGAAAAGAGCTCTCAACTTATTTATATGCTTTCCGGAAACATACACTTGGAATTTCAAGCAGTTACTCCTATTCTACACCAAAGTTTTATACATGCTTCATAGAGTTATAAAGAAAAAAGTTACTTGGTCTTTTAGGAATATTAAATTACCTCAACTACTCAGCTATGAATTAGGCTCACAAATTAGGTTACCTAACTCTTTAGTTAAGTAAGGAAGGATGGAACTGAACCTAATGAATTCATTCTCCTTCCTCTCTTGAGGACAACTGCATTTCAACACACGCAAATTGGGGAAATATACAAACTCATCTACTTTGCTCTAAGTAAGAAAACGTGATTTATTTTTGTACATCATGCGCCAAGGATTAAACTCATTTCCTCATACTAGCCCTACAGGGAAGGCAAGTATATGCACCATGTTAACGTGGGCTGGGGAGACAGTGGAGAGTGCTGGGCTTTACACACTGCTTATTTTCAACCCAAAATTTAAACTTCAGGCATTTCCAAGTCTCCCCTTTCCTCCACTTCAACAGAAAAAAAAAAAAAAAAAAAGCCTAATCTCTACATCCCGAAGTATGTTCCTGGGTGGGTGTGGTGGCACACACTTGTAATTTCAGCACTGAAGAGGCAGAAGAAGGAGAATCACTGCAAGTTCAAGCCCAGCCTGAACTAAGGAGTGAGACCCTGTCCCAAAAAAAAGTCAGAAGCTGGGGATGTAGCTCAGTGGCATAAGCGCCTGCCTGACAAGTGCAAGATTCTGAGTTCAATTCCTGGTACCAAAAAAAGGGGCCAAGGATTTAGTTCAGTGGCCCAGCAGGCATGAGGTCCTGAATTCAATTACTGGCACCCTCCCAAAAAAGGTCTGATTTTGCTTTACTTTCAAGAAGTACCACATCTCAGCCCAGAACTGTGGTCCATGTTATAATCCCAGCACTTCTTGAGACAAGAAGAACTCAAATTTAAGCCTGGCAATTTACCAAGACTCTGTCTCAAAAAAAGGCCCAGTGATATAGTTCAATCAAAGATCCCGGATTCAGCCCCCACGACAAAAAAAAAAAAAAAAAAAACAAAACAGGAACCACATCTTTCTTAAGGCCTGTTACATTTTCACTGAAGACTTTTACAGTTTTATTACATTTAAACACAATACATATAAATGATGTCATCTCTTCCGGTCCCTAAGGACTGACTGGTATTAATTCAAACGCTGCTATACATGGACTTTATGCCAAAGGCACAGCATTCCTAATGTATCTGAAGTTGTTTGAAATGCTCCTACACAATTCTATGTCAATCGTGAGAAGCTGTTACCACAGACACAACCTTGTGCCTTCAAAAACACATGAAATTTGATGCCACAGGCATGACTACAATCTTAAAGCTATAAGTAAAATTCTACAATACCACCTATTTTAAGAGAGAAATGCAAACAAAGGGCATCACACAAATATTTCACATGTCTGTCAATTTTTAAAACGTGTCATTTATAGAAAAGGTGACAATAAAGAGCTCTTTTTCTAGTAACTATCACCTAATGTGCTGTCACACATCTAAGGAGATTATTAGCCTCCTAACAGAGCTGAAAAGGCATGGGAAGCACTTACAGCGGACAGAGGGACTATGAAACAGAACTTTTCACAAGCACTTGAGAGGGAGATACTGTTTGTACCCTAAGTAGCCTCTGTTAAGGTTTTGGCCAATTATACTGTGATGGTATTCGTATTTCACAACCTTCCATAGCTTATAATTAGAACTTAAAAAAAAAAAAAAGCTTAGTTTGACATATGGAAACACAGGGTAAGAAGGTGATCCTGGGGGCAGGGAAGGCGGGTTAGAGAATTCAGTAGTAAAAACCAAACATCCGTGTGCTCATTTACCTTCTTATTTAGCCAGTGCCAGAGCTTGAGGACAAGGGGTGAGAAAGAGAAGATAAGAACAGTGGAATATCATTAGAGAATGCAATAATAGCATGAAAAGGAAAGAAAGTCACCAAGAGCATGAGAAGGAAACTGTCAGGGAAAACAAGGGAGAAAATCATAGAGCATCAACAAAGTTTTCAAATCAAGATAACCTAGTACTCCTTCAAAGATAAACAATGGTTGAAACGATAACTACAAGCTTTTTCAATAATCCAAAAATTTAAGATACATAAAATAACCTGAATGTCTGCAAGCTTAGTGTTCCTGCCTTTGCTGCCCACCTATTGATCTTCTTGCCACATCTGACTAATACGCTCCTCACTGCACTCTGCCTGGGCACCACTTCCTTAGCAAAATTCCCTTTACACCTGCCTTGTCCACCAGAGTCATTTCCTGTTTAGTGCTACCACTGTATCCCATATGTACTTTTCCTAAATTATAACAGCTAACATTTACCCAGCGCTTACGGAACACCAAGCATTAATGCAGAGATGTTACATGTATTAACTCATTTCACTTTCACCATCATAATATGAGGTAGGTAACATTATACTCATTTTACTGATAAGGAAACCAAGGCACAGAAAAGTTACAACACCTGTCCAAGGTCACAAGGTGGCTAGTAAGCAGCTGAACTAGGACCTGACACCAGATTCTAATCACTAAGCCTTTGAGTTTTCATGAACTGCTCTGCTGTCTGCCCACTAAATAGAGCTTCTTTATTTGGTTTTCTGTGATTGATCTGACCTTCTCACGGACTTTAGCACAATATCTGACAAACAGAAATTACTCCAAAAACATTCACTGAACTGAGCTACTACCTACCTAGTTACAAAATGTTAGGCAAGTCACTTAACCTCTCTGAATTTCAATTTGGTCCTAATACAAATGGAGTCAAAGTAAGAGCTCCATAACATACTTTTCTCCCATTTTTAAGAGGAAAAATACCCAATACTTACTTAAGTTGAAATCATTCTATCCTATGTGAAGCATTAATTCTAAAATTCAAAATTGCATCTTAAAATTAAATATTAAATGTATTATCAACATACACAAAACAAACACTATTTACCATGGAATGAAATATCTCAAACCACACGAACTCTGTTAAAGCAACCAAAGCTCTTAAAAATACCAAAACAAAAAAACTTCAGTACCTTGCTGTCAACTTTCAACAAGAATTTCCCAAGCCCGATGATTGGCCAAGGCGCTAAAGCCTCCTGCCGCTCCTTCAGGAAGTGCTCGATTACCTGCCACCACACACAGCAGCGTTTCTCCAGGAAGTTCACAACGCCAAAGTGAATAACAAGCTTTTTGATTATCCAGACTACAAAGATAAAAACAGATATAGATCAATGGATACATGCACACTATAGACACACAAACAAAATACAGATTGGAAGGCATAACATAAAAAGGTTCCTTAATTTCCCTGCCAAAATATTAAAAATAGTATTAAAATAAAGAGTGGTATTACAAAGGAAGGGACAGGAGGAGCTCAAGGCATTCCAAACAGATGGAACTGGCCAAGTGACTTTTCACACCATGCCCAGCACCCATGTACTATCTTCTCTGTGGAGCCTGAACCTCTGGAGCAGACAGGGATGGCTTCACAGCCCACATGAACAGAAGATACTTTCAGCATGACAATTTCAGTCACATAAGGGCTCTCAAACCTTCCCCCTTCCTGAGTAAAGAAAACTAACCTTTGACATTTCCTAATCTCCTTACAGCTATTCTTCTCAAATTTTGTTCTTTTCCTTAGTTATTTGATATTTAGTGGCCAGAAAAGTGTAAGGTATTCCATTATGCATCATGATGTGATACCACTTCATGGCCAAATTTTCAGCTATGTTCCCACTTCTCCACTTAACACTGCTCTGTCGTCTCAACAGACACCAGGACTAAGCAGAGACGCCAGCAAAGTGCAAGAGGGCTGCACAATGCTCACCGCTCACCATCACTGCCAACGCTGTAAGACTGTGGAGAGCCGCAGAAGATGGAGACCAACCACACCCACGTGTGGGGCTAACGCGAAGCCAGCCCTGAGAACACAGAGCACCTGAGGCAAGTCACATGAATAAGCTGCTCTAGTCTCAAGAACACTGAAACCCGAGGCAAGCCGCTATTAGGTGGAGGAGTTTCATGTGACACTCAACCTGAGTGTATAAATACACACGCCGGGGGCTCTCCCTCTTTCTCCTCTTCCTCCTAGACTTCCTTCTTCTTCATTACTTCTCCCATCAGGAGAGAAGGGTTCCATCCGGTCTCAGTTCTTCTATATTCTCACTCCTGTCCTTTTTCCTTTATCTTCTCACCATCCTCACCCTGGGAACTTTGAGAGCTGCACGGGATGCGGCATTAGTTACCAAAACAGGGACCCAAGAAACAAGGAAATGCATGAGATAGCAGGTAAGAGAAGACCTCTAGCTGTACATGCGGAAGTACATGCCTCCAGCGAGGCCAAAGAGAAAAACAGGCTCCAGAGATGCCAAAGAGAAAAACAGGCTCCAGAGAAGCCAAAGAAAAAAACAGGCTCTGGAGAAGCTAAAGAGAAAAACAGGCTCCAGAGAAGGCAAAGAGAAAAACAGGCTCCAGAGATGCCAAAGACAAAAACAGGCTCCGAAGAAGCCAAGAGAAAAATAGGTGGCTTAAGAACACAGTGAAGATGCTCCCCCTGGAGGTGGGCAGTAGTGGTGGCCCTTCAAGCAGGGCTAGAGAGTCCTATTAAAGACCACGAAGACGGTGGAGGAGGTGGGGAAGAGTTACTGATCTATTTGGAGTTTTGACCAAAATAACTGCTCCCACCCATAATAATATCTCTAACTCTAGGGATTTGTGTCCTGAGACCTGACCTTATAACCTTCAGGTTTACTTTAGTTTAGTATTTTGAACCATAAACTCAGTGTTACTTACCAGTTAAACAATTGTGCATTGGCATTTTTTAAGTCCCTTAAAAAGTTCTTAGGTTTCTAGAACAAGACCATGGTATTAAGGGCTACAGAAAACCTTTCGGGGTCACCTTGTTCACAGTCTTCCCTCCCAAGGCCAAGTCAAATTCCTCTGCTGACCAGTGGTTATGGTAAGATTAACTCCTGCTAACAATCTTAACTTCTGCTAACAAGCTTTAAGGAAAGGTGAGATCCAACAGAAACCAGCACATGATTTGCCAGTATAAAGAAATCATCAGGCAAAACCAATCAGAAGAATTTTATCTGTATAAACTCCTTACCAGAAGCATGGCCATAATGCTTTCTGTGACTTGCTTAACTACAACTCTATCTTGTTACAAGTGCTGGCCAGAAGTTCTGTTTATAAACAGCAGACACAAACTTTTAACTACTTACACTGTTTGTTCCCTGTATATAGGCACTATACAGTGCTCTGGTCAAAGTAAATGTTTAAAATGATGGCTATTTAATTAACTGGCCAAGTCAATCAGTGGTAAGTGGTGAAAACTAATGATCTAGAAAATAAATAGGCAAAAAAGTTTAGACCTGTTCACATGGTAGAAAACCTTTCTCCAAAGAAATCAAATTATGTTTTAATAATGAGAATTCCTGACATAGGAGAAAAGGACTAGTAAATTTAGAAGGTACAGGGATGGCAGAATTCACAGCCTCCACCGAAGACCTGACAGACTAGAATGCAATAAGAGGAGAGTACAAATAATTGGGAAAATATTAAAAACAACTGCTTCTATAATGTACCAGAGTCAGACAAACCTCATTCTTGCCAGCCTTAGAAGACAGCTTCTGCAAAACTCAACATAACAGAGGGGGCCTTAAACAGCCATGGTACAGAATTACGGTACAAGGAGCTGACTGAATAATTTATGGAAGACCATATAATTCCCTTGACAGCACAAAGGTTATATGTTTGCATATGTGTGTACATACCTGTTTTAACAAACAAAATTCAAGATTTTCCATACGTACGTCTCAAAGCCTACATACTTCCTTTGGAATAAAAATGCAATATTAAAGGTGTTTCCCTGAAAGCAGCTCTCAAAATTCCACCAGAAACCTCGAAACCCAGACCATACCGTAAAAATTCTCTACCAGAGAAACATGGATGAGGGGCCAGTCAACTTTACGCGGAGCTATCAACCTCAAATCCACATGAAATTATAAGAGGGTAAATACATTTTCAAGCTTAAAAGTGAATTATTTCTGTATTGGAGATTGAACCCACAGCCATCTCACTGAGCTATATCTCCAGCCCCTTTTAAATTATTTTTCATTTTGAGTGTCTCATTAAGTTGTCCTAGCTGGGCTCAAACTTGGGTTCCTCCTGCTCTGGCCTCCAAAAGTGCTGGGATCATAGGCATGCTCTACCAACACATCTTAAAAGTGAAATGTTAAAGAATTATAATACAATTTCCAGAATGTTTTTTAGTAATAATTGCAAACACACAATTTTTCTATTAAGAGTGACAGTAAAATTCAAATTATTGAAATCTAAAAGTAAAAATTAAAAATCTTTGAAGACAAGAATGAAACCGGACAATGACCTGCGATGGGCACAGGCAGCAACTGCACAATCCACAGGTTCAACCAGATCTGGACAACAATGATGGCCCAGACGAGGGACACAAAGTAGATGTCACTGGTTTTCTTCTTTCTCAGAAATGTTCCAATCTCAGGCCTTTGTCTGCCCAGGGTAGGCGAAGGGGAAGAAGGTGAGGAAGGGGAGGAGGATGAAGAAGTGGACAGTGTCGGAGGGGATTCTCCTTTGTCTGTAGTTTCTGAAAAGGGAAAGGAAAAAACCACACACCGTATCAGCCCACATTAGGAAACAGTAATACGGAGTGCTGGTCAGGATACCCTACTTTAAGCCTGCAAAATGTACTCTGATAGTAATGCAAACTACTGTATTAGGTTAAAAGACAAACACGCTTATATCTGTTTGCACATGCACTGAAAGATTTGTGGGTATTACCACTTAAATCTAGAGAAATTAAGTTTGTGGGGATAGGGTTGGGAGACAGAATACTTCACTTTTACACTTTAAACTGTTCAAGTATTTTGTGACTAGCACATACACATCATTTTAAAAAATAGGGAAAAAGTAGTTAAGAATCATAATTAACCATAAAAATTTTGCAAAATATATAAAGCAACAAATAATTATACCAGAATTTCTGTACTGAAGAACTCTGTTTTTTCTGTTTTTGTGGTGCTGGGTATCAAACCCAGGGCCTCACACTGCTAGACAAGTACTCTACTGTGAGCTATATCCTTAGCTCTCTTTTTCTTTTAATAGAACTTTAGGTGTATTTACTTATTTTTCTGAAGCAAGACTTTTCAATGTCATTTCACCTAAGGTAAGAGCAGCTAGTTATAAGAACCCATGGCTTTCAATAATGACTTCTGCTCTGAATAAGACATAAATGAATGACAGATTGTTGGGGTATGGAATTTTCAAATAAAGGAAACCATCCTGGTATGTTTCACATAAAGCACTGTCTCCTAACAATGCAACAACTATGTTACATTTCATTACAGGGTTCTGTTATTTCTACCTTCTAGCTTTGACATGACATACTATATGCATCCAAAATCATAACTCTTAAGGCAATATTATTCTACATCCACCTTGACCGTGGAAATTATTAAGAGCCTAAAGCTTGCGGGGCTGGGGATTTAGCTCAGTGGCACAGTGCCAGCCTGGCAAGCGCGAGGTCATGAGTTCAATTCCCGGTACCGGAAAAAAAACAACAACAACAACAAAAAAACAAAACAAAACAAAAAAAAGGGCCTAAAGCTTACATTTGCCTTCCATTCAAATAAAATTACAGAACTATACCATAATTCAGAAAGTCTAGAAAAAGGAGAAAAGAAATGCATACCAGTAATCCTGAGAAGAGGGACTATCTGCCCTGTCTTTTACATAGTTTCACAAAACTGTATCATGTTCCACTTATCCTTTTTCACTTTCTCCCTTCAGAAGAAAGTCAGCTTAAAAGACAAGGCTAAGACCTTGCCTGTCTTATTCTCCCTCCACTGAATTCCTGGCACACAGAATAGTATCAAACACTAAATAGTTGTTGAATGAATGACTAATTTTCGTAAGCAGCACCACAGTAGTTCCCTATGTGGTGTATCATAAATTCCTTAATGTTTCTTTGAATGATAAAATGTTTAGCTGTAAGTTTTACTGCTGAGATACCACCTTACATAATGGTAAATCAGCTCATCTCACTAGAACATGCTACCCTGAGGTTTGGTAATAAAGGTCAAGCTAGTCATAATATGTTTTTATTTCATTTTGCGGAATGTTTTTCTAATATGGAAACTCCATGTTCATGGGTGTGCTGGATACTTGTAAGAATAATAACTCCATAACCTAGTTCCCGGTACTGGAGAAAAACCAAAAAAAAAAAAAACAACTCCATAACCTAAACATCATAATCTTTCCATTTTCAAAACATAATGCAAAATGCAAATATAAGTACTCCGACTATTCCAATGCTTTTTTTTTCCTCCTAAATGATCCCTTCCTTTAAGATGTCTCAAATCAGTCCTCTACAAATATTCCCTAACTCCAAATACCTCTGGCACTAATGGCTATCTCAGCACAACCCAAGATGGTCATTCGCATTTCTTGAACTCTATGAGAATATTGTATGGCCCTAGAGCTGGTATAAATCTACTAGCTGCATCTCACAGAAGCCTGCAACTACAAAAACCAGAACATACAACACAACTAAAAGAGTCTGTTTTAGGGAAACAGTCACTGTATATAGTATGTGGTTTGCAAATCAAAACTTTCAAAGGATATACAAAAGAAAACATCCGAGAAATGACCCAAAAATGGGGGGAAAAGCAGCCCTTCCCCTGCAAAAAAGGAGGGTAGAGAGCAAAAGAAAAAGCAACATGAAGAGACAAAATAAAACAATCAAGGGGAGCCAGCAGTTGTAGAGAAATGGAAAATAAAAAGCCAAGATAAGGAAAGCTTAAAATGGGAAGGAGACTGTGGAAAAGAAAAATACTATAAAAGTAAGAAACAATAAAAGAATTTAAAAAGTATTTTTAAAAGTCAAGATGAAACTTGAGAAAGTAAATATATGAAAAAGGTAATATATGAATCAAAGATGAGAGGAGCAAAGGTGTAAAAACAATAATCAGAGAGAAAAAATGAAGGGCCAGCAAGGCTAAGCAGCACTTGATGATGTCAGTACCCTTGTTAATTCTTTGTTTGTTTGTTTTTTTTGTTTTTCTCCGGTACCGGGAACCGAACTCACGACCTTGCGCTTGCCAGGCAGGCGCTTTTGCCCCTGAGCTAAATCCCCAGCCCCTACCCTTGTTAATTCTATATTCTCTATATCTCACTTTCCAGAACTCGGAATGCATTCATGACGTGAGTCACCTGCAGGCTGAGCGGAGGTCTGGTCTTCACCGCCTGACTCGTACCCTGTGATGGAGATGGCCAGGTTTGCTAGAGTAGAAGCTGCCATGGAGATTACCTGTCCTGGTAATTCTGCCCCTGTGAAAGAAGAACACATCTTAAAAACTTTTTAAAGCAAATGAACAAGGCCAAAGTACTGCAGTACTGTAAATACAAACACAATCCTACGCTTTCAACAACAGAATAAAAATGGTTATTTCTGACCACTGGACCAGTGGTTCTTCACTGAAGAAACATGCTGGAGAACTACAGGAAAGTCTGCCAAACATGTAAGTCCCTCTTGGGACTTACAAACTGTGAGGCTTCTTGTGGGTCTTCCTCATCTGGGAGCTTCATGCTGGCGAGTGTGGTGGGCCCTGGATGCACAGATCTGAAGTGCAGGGCTTGTCTTTTTCTAACTTTACCAGTTGATTTTAATGCAGTAACAGGGCAAGGACTGACAGAGGACAGTGTCTATCATGTCACATGTACTCAGTACCCTCTGTACCACACTGGGACAAAGACAAAGAGCCACCCCCTGGGAGACTCCTGAAAGAGACAAATATGAATTAAAGGACCACATGAAAAATGCATGGCAACACATTATGACTGCTATAAAGGAATCAGTATTTTATGAACTCCAAAAAAGAGGAACCTCACTTAGTCTGGAGAATCAGGGACAGCTTCTCCTCAGAAATGAACATGGAGTTAATATATATCAGGGACAAGACGGAATCAATCCAAAGATATAAAATATAACCTCTGGGCAGAAGGAAGAAAGCATGGTTGTGAGAAGAGCCTGACATGTGAAAAGTCGCTGGGTCTGGAATGCAGACAGTTGGTAACAAACCAGTATCAAATTAACAGGGCAGAGAGGCCACATGATCCTGGACACGAAGACCATATTAAGGTCTTTAGTTTTCATCCAAAGAAGAGCAGAAAAGCATGGGAGTTTTAAACAAGATAGTTTATTTTTTAAAAAACAAGATACCTCCACTTTAAAACCCCTCTCCTATGAAATCCTATTGAGATGCAGTCTGAAGAAATAAACCCCAGTGCACCCTCTACCCAGTTTCTTCAGCTGGCAACAGCTGACAAAACTACCGTGCAATATCACAATCAGGGTATCACTGGGGATACAAGATCCCAAACACTGTCATCATTACAAATGTTCCTCTCATTGCACTTTATACTTGCATTCACCTGCCTCCCACCCATGAATAAATGCCCCATTTTGAGATGTATTAAGATTATTCTTATTGTTTGGAGAAGAACACACTATGGGGAACCAAGAGTGGGTTTAGGATAAGTTACTGCACAACTACAGCAAAGCATGACCACAGAGTGGTGTATAGCAGGTTAACTGAGAGGTACAAAGGGGCTGGCCACAAGAGACAGGAGTAAAACTGGACCATGCCCACTGATGACCCAACACAGGGAATCAGAAAGGAAGGTGCCCAGCATCAGAAAGGAAGGTGCCCAAGTGCTGCCAGACTAGGGTCAGACAGATAACATGCAAGGGGCCAAGTGAAGATGTGGAGGACATTTACGCTACGTTAAGACTTCCAGACAAAAGTTTCACAAACTGACTTAGAGCAGAGACAGGACAAAATTAGATTCTCATTCATGTGCCCAGAAGATCTCTCAAGTAGACCCCATTCAAGGGCAAAAGCTGGGAACACACAATGGCCTAGGACAATAAAACCGAAAGAAACAGGAAAAAATGCTTATAGTCAAAATTGAGTTAGACTAAAGACCTGAATTACTAAACAGATCTCTTCACAAGCAGTTAAATTTACATTGCGGTTCACTTTTGAGGTACCCTGAAAAGCAGTGCTTTTTAAGTAGGTACAAAATAAAAAAATCATTGTATTGTTCCACAAATACAGACTTTCAGTTTGCTACATTTTGACTTAATATCACTAGGCACTCATATGGTGACTGGTCCATATGCTGAGACAAGAGACTAGGACCCTAGCTTCAAGTCCAGTGTAATGGTAAAACTAGCAGTTACAATTTGGTATGTTAAGAGCTAATGTAAAATAAGGGTATAATGTAGTCCAGAATGATGCCTTACACTTGAAATTCCAGTTCTCAGGAAGTTGAGGCAGAAGGATCATTGTGAGTTGGAGCCTGGTCTCGGCAACCTAGTCAGTTCAAGTGCAGCCTAGACTACACAGTAAGATTCTGTTTTTTAAAAAAATAAAGCAATTAAAGACTAACTCTCCAATTTGCTAATGTCCCTGAAATATACGATAAATATTCGGTAAATCTTAGCTAAATCATGGGACACTATACAGTATCATTCTAGTTAATATGTATTTGATTTAACAAACTTAGAATGCCTCAAACTTCACAAAAGCAGGAAAAGAAAAGTCAAAGAAGATTTGAAAATCAGGTTATAAGAAGACCTGGCAACTGCCCTTATCAAACATATATGCATTTTAATGACTTCTGTCTTAGTGGTATCCTTCAGCACTTCAAAGGCCTCGCGGGTCTGGACAGAAGAATGCCAGGACCATAATTCTAGGCAAGGTCATGATATTAAATAAAAAAGCCCCAGCTAAAAATAGGCATAGAAATACGGGAACACAATCTTGGGATTCAAGGACTACAAACATAAACGAAAAGAACGTGTAGGGTTTCAAGTATCAATCTCCCCAGAGGCAGGAGCAGTATGAAGTGGGGGCATCTACGTAAGTCCAAACGAGCAGGCCACTGACCAGGACAAAAACTCAGAGTCCAACACACAGAAACGGATGACACATTCAGAATAAATCTGTGAACACAACTCAAGAATGGGCAGACTTACTTTTTAATAATCGTGGAAAGTCAGTTTTGAAACTGGTCTAAATAAGGAGATATTTCTGGTTCTACTCTGTTCTTTTTCACGGGATAGTGGTAGTTGCCAAAAACACATCCAAAGATACTTGCTGGAAGGAGGCACTGCATACCAAGTTAAGCCTCCCCAGTTTGCAAAGTTCCCTTCTGAAGAACGCTTCTGTTTCCATCACTAATGTGGAAAATAAATTTCCCTCATAATCCCCTCTAGCGTCACTTCATTCAGGCTTGGATATGGACCAGAAGTTTCTCTAGGCCAACTTATCTAACAGAACCATAATTGGGGAATATGAAAGGAAGAATAATAAATTCAGTTTGGTCCTTTCTTTTTACCAATTTGGGCTTAACTGGATCAAACTTGTGCATTCATATTACAAGCTGTCCTAAATGATAAAGGCAACTCCCAAGCCTTCCCTGTACAGGAACTTCTGGTCACTCAGGATTACTGATGTCAGGACAAAGAGCAGCAAGCAGCAAGCAGCACTGCTCAGGCTGGGTGTGCAAGCTATTAAAGGTACAACAGGGCCTCTTCTATAGGAAATAATAATGCTAGTGGTCTTTTCTCTCACAAGGGGAGGGAACATGCCAAAGCTGCCTTCTAGGTGCTATGGTTTGAATGTTTGTTCCCTCCAACACTCACGATGAAAATGAATTGCTATTGTAACAGTCTTAAGAGGTGCCATGTAATGGGGACCAACAGTGTTGAGTTGCCATATAACGTCACAAGAAGTTCCTCAACAGATGCCAGTGCCTGGATATCAGATTTCCCAGACTCAAAAACTGTTCAGCAATACATTTCTGTTCATTAAATATTATCCAACCTACGGTATTCTGTTTTAGCAGCACAAAGTGTACTAAGACACCAGGTTTCTACCAAGGGAGAACCACTGACCCTAGGAGGCAGAGAAGCTAGGTCCTATACTTGTGAGGAGTCAGTCAATAGGGCCAAAGTGGAGAATGAAGGTGCTGACAACTACTACTGAATGCAACAGGGGTCAGTAGCTGGTACTTCCCCACTATGACCCAGGCTTATTCAAAGAGCTTGGGAAAGGGAAAGAGCACTGGCTTAGGGTCAAGAACCTTGTTTTCAAATTTTCACTCCACCTGTGTGACTGTGGGCAAGGCAGCTAACCTCTGGACTCAACCACCTTAGTCTGCAAATAGAGACGGCATCTATTCTGCAAAGTTTTATGTTTTTGTTCTTGCTTTTTTGGTGGATGGAAAAAGCTTATTCAAAACCACATAAGACTTTTTGGCTCATGGAAGCACTTAAACATTTTTTTTTTTCGCTACATTATCTTGGACTTCCAGGAAATACCATGTAAAAGCTCTCGGGTCCAGATGAAAACCACTGAGTAAGGCCCCTGGGTTCAGAAGGAACCAGGACACTAACTCAGCAATGACCCATAAAAGTTTTCTGGGTCTAAGAACAAAAAATCTCATAATTTGAACTCTGATGCAATCCAGGACTAATTCTGTGAGTCTAGTAAACCATGGATCATAAAAGCTTCTACAGGAGCAAACGATTCAAAGGTAAAAAGACAGAGAAGGTATCACAGGTGACTGGCACACAAAAGCAAGTCCACACAGCGAAGTAATCAACACACACCACCATGGCAGTACCTGCAGTGTTCCAGGACCAAATTATATTATAGTGACATCTACAGGAGGAAACTGACCAAATACAATGGAAGGGCCACCCCAACATGAGCTGGACAGTTTGAATTTTGAGTCATAATAAACAAGGTTTTAGGGGCATAAGGGGAAAAAAACTAGAAATTTAGAGAAAATAGGGCCAGGTGTGCTGGCACATGCCTATAATCCCAATACTCAGGAGCTGAGGCAGCAGTGCCATGACTGTGAGGCCAGCCTGGGCTACATAGTGTGACCCTGTCTTCAAAAAAGAAAAGAAAAAAAGAAAGAGAAGCGGGAGGGGGAATGGGAGAGGGAGGGAAGAAAGAGAAAGAGAAAGAGAAAGAGAAAGAGAAAGAGAAAGAGAAAGAGAAAGAAAGAGAAAGAAAGAAAAACAGAAGGAAGGAAGGAAGGGAGGGAGGAAAAGAAGAAATTTAAAGAAGATATTTAAAAGATTTAGTAGGGCACAGTAATACATACCTATAATCCCACACTCTGGGAGGCTGAGGCAAGAGGTTCATAAATTCAAGTCTAGCCTTAACAAAAACCTATCTCAGAAATAAACAGGATGTAGCTCAGAGTGAAGGCTCTAGGTTCAACCCCCAATATTGGGCAAGGGAGAGATT